GAAATGACGGTAGAGGTGCTTAAAACTCATAGAGACATTACTGTTATATAAAAAAACAGAAAAAGTTTCTTCTGAAAGCAAAAATTCTGTAAGAAAAGAATGGTTTTCTGTGCTGATATTTTTTTTAACGATAATGGTGATTTTATTTATTTTTAAATAAAATAAGTTAAGTATGTTGTACCATCATTTCGACACCATCATTTTCCGTTAATTTTTTTTTATGTAGAATCTGACATTTTTTGAAAAGTTTATTAATTAAAATACTAATAATTTGATTATTTTTTACTCAGAATTGTGAAATAATTCAGTTTAATTACATATTTTTTTAAGCTTTAAAAAGCTTTTAGCGACTACGAATTACATTGTGGTAAACGATGCGACATTACGCGACGCGTGCGACGTCGCATCGCTTATCGTAACCGTGTAAAATTAAATTTAAAACTTTTGTTAGTTTAAAATAACCTCTTTACTAAACTAATTATTATATAGATCATTTTTATTAAAGAGATCAGAAAGGTTTCTTAGAAGAGAACTTCTAAATTACAGATATGTCAGCGAATGCGACGTTTCTCGTCGCGCTGACGCGTTACGATAGAGACAATATACATATATATAAGTTAAATTTTTTTTTTAATTTAGAACATGCGAGTGTAAATTCTATTTTAAATTTATTATTAAAATTGTTTTCTACTTTGTAACTAATTTAAACAAGAAAATAATAACTGTTTCTGCATTATGAACTTTGGATCAAACATGGCGCCGAGACACAGATGCAACGCATTAATTTTACTTATATTTTATCAGAGACGGATGACAATCCTAAATTTGCAATCATTCCGTCCCCTTTCTCTTATATACACTTCTTATTAATTAGAAATGTGTTTTTCACATAACAGTAGTAAATGCAGCAACTGTTTGGAAGGATGCAGGAGTCTTCAATGGGTTTTGATTACGGTCAGCCCTGCAATTTTTTCTCTTGGTTCCTTCCGCTCCTGGAAAAAATAGTAGGAATTACGTCCTGTATTAGTTTTACGTATTTTCTTAATTAATAAAATGCAAATCAATTCGTGAGCTAGAAGCAGAGGTGCCAGCGAACTATAAAAAAGGCAAGGCATAAGCTATAAAAATGGACATCACACATTATGCGAGAAGCTTCAAACTATGAATCAATGTCGATCAGCGTTGCCACAAGTTGGCACTGGTTGCAATTGGGTCAACTTGGCCTCAAAAGCAAGGAACATTCCTTGTTTTCAAGGTCAAGTTTTGTTCAACATACAACGAAGTTGTATGGCCTTTAGTGTTCTAGTGTACGGGAGTCCCTGGCTGGAAGAAATGTAGACACGCCTTATAGTTTACATTGTGTTTATTTTCAATATGAAATTGTGTATATTTATTGAAATGCTATTGTGTTTATGTGGAAAAATAACATAAAATGAGCTAGCTGTACAAGGAAATTTTTCTCTCTCTGATTATACCGATGAATAATTAGAGGTCCACGTACACTATGTACCATTAATGTCAACTTTTTTCACGTTAAAAATATAAAATTTGATGTGTTAATTTGTATAAGACAATACAAACACATGGGCAATCTGCCAAACGAAAGATTCCTTTCGGGAGGACTTTATTTAGGAATTTTTCGCTCGGCTCATATTTAAGTGTTAAACAGGTGAACAAAACCTAGCAAAAATCCTGCGACCAGCCCGTTAGTCAGGCACGAACCTACGACATACCAAAGAAACTATTTTCAAACAGAAAAGTGCTATTTTGGAGATTATGTCGTGTATTTGTAGCTCTAGTAAATACCTACATTTATCTATTCATCTTCGTAATGCAAGCAGGCCAATTAGGGGGGTTTATTCCCTTTCGTCGGGATGGTCTAAGGCCGTAGAGTATGTGGGTGGAGATTCTAAAGGCAAGAAACGACAAATGTTACAAAAGAAAACCGTTTATTTTTCAACATATGCTTACATAATCGGGTTTGCATGTCCAAGTTCGATGGAGTGTCGGTGGAAAAAGTACTGGATCCTTTAGTTTTTCTGAAGAACAAATATTACAGATATGTCAGCGAATGCGACGTTTCTCGTCGCGCTGACGCGTTACGATAGAGACAATATACATATATATAAGTTAAATTTTTACAGCGGCGAGTCAGATATCGAGATGGCAGCGACAGGAAGGATAACACAATTGTTCTCTCTCGGAGACGATGTAGAAAGAGAAGGTTGGAACTGGGAGGCAAAAGTTCAAAGGAAGAAACGCTGTGAAGGAAGCCAGAGGTGGAAGCTCCTCAATCACAGAGGTTTTATATGTTTTTCTCGTTCGATTATTTTCTAGTTGATCGGGCTTTTCCCTCCTCGCTCCCCGATTCGTCTCTTACCCGTCTCTAATGTAAGTAGAATTTGAGACCAAGTTAGGTCTGCCCGGGATGGTTTATCCGACACCATCCTCTGGACTCTGATCGCGACACCCGCGCTCATATTGCGTCTCATTGCTTCCTTTTTTTCTTATTGCATTTTAAACAATTTTCCTTTTAATTTTCTTTTATCCTAAATATTGTTTTCTCTCTATTCTTTATGAGCGACGACGTCAAAGTCCAATGTCGCAGTCTCTACACTTATATTACTTGTTATGTCGATGGTTTAATTTAATCGATCGCCTAAATATTCGGGCTACAATATGGCTATAAACAAATAATTAATACAAACAAATTTGGTACTGAAGGTAAGCGTTAGGCGCCATCTCTTATCTAAATTAATAATTATACTTTTAATATTTTAATAAATAATTTAGAACCTTTCTTCCGTTGGATTATTATATTAACTCATAGGGCTTCGAAATGTGTGTTACATATACCGTACATTTCTTTTTTGTTCGAACTAATTCCGGAGCCTCACAGTGATAACATTATTCATCGACTAAACCAAAATCTTTCATCCAAAATGGCCGCTTATCTTTCTCGTCGGCAAAGCATACCGAAAAGAATGTCGGTATTTTTTACATCTACAGCTCTATACTTTCAGGCCTGTACTAGATGCGCGGTTGTTATTATTATGGTTTTTGTTTATGGAATAAAAAAGTAGAATTTTTGATTTGAAAATGGAAATTCAATAAATAACTCTATAATCTATTCAATTAAAGTAATGAGTGAAATAGTATATATGTATTTAAAGTTCCTAGATATACAGTTTCACATTCAAGTAATGAGCCGGCCATATTTAGTCCTCTATTCTTTCTAGTGTTTATAATTTCCAGTTTAAAATGTTTTATGTTGATATATATTTTATGCGATAACAGCTTAAAAGCGAGTATATTTTTTAATACTAAAATATACCAACGTGCAACACAATGAATAGATTAGTACAGGACTAAATATGGCGGAAAAAACAGTGTTTGAATGCAAGGACTATATACTACAAGGATAGCCAGATACCGTATATTTGTTAGCGTTACCTTGGATCTGTGTGGCGACGCAGCAAGCCCTATACTTCAACATGACAGATGCTTTCAAATAACAAAATACAATAAAATATGCTGTATCCATGATGGAATGCTATAGTCGTAATGATTTTTAATTTTGCTATTGTAATTACCCAAGTTTGGGCGTTTTTCTTTATATTTATAGGCAAGATATCCTGCTATTATACTCGAGAGCATCGTGAGAAGTTTCTTCAGAGATTGTGTTAAAGTCTGGATTGCATGTAGAGTTTCCTCTGAAGATTTATTTGAAGAAAAAATAGTTTTGCATTTAGTATTTATTGGTCTGTATTTTCACATGTGCTTTCTCTAAAACTTTTGGTACAGTCGACCCTCTATAACACTGTTGATTATTCTGTTTTATATGAATTCCATGTTGTACGAGTCANTAATGCAGAGGGACGCCGTATCACTAGAGATGGCTTTTCTCGCAATCGAAGACCATGTGAACAACTAACAAAGTTTGAGTGGGGAAGGATCATCGGTTTGAGATAAATCGGATGGTCATCTCGCTGAATAGCCCGCCACTTAGGCCGTTCTGAAACACTCTGAGGTGTTGAAACTAGTAGACGAGAGAGAGCTCGCACACACGGCGTCCAGGCTCAGGATATCCTTGGCAGGCCACTAGTCGAGAGAACCGCCTGCCCTCTGACAAGTGTGCATATAGCTGAACTTATCATTGTCTGTCATCTGGACACAGTAAGTTAGTGCCATCATTAAAATTTCTGTGTATCTGTCTATCTACCATTTCGGGGTGCCTAGGTGAGGGACATTTGGTATCGCGGCAACCATTACGTGTTCTGGCATTGACACCATCCACCGTTGCCTCCATTCAAAGTGATGCCACTCCCGACGGGATTGGACTACAATAGAATGGAACCGGGTCATCAACAGCGACGAATTCAGATTCGATTTGGGCACTGATGACGGCCGTGTTTATGTCTGGAGATCCCGTGGTGAACACCTCAATCCTGCCTACGCTTTGGCACACCGCCCCCATAGCTGGAGTGGTGGCTTGGGGTGCCATTACATACAACAGCCGGTCACCTCTAGAGATCTAAGAGACCATGGGCCGTATTCTGGTCACCGTCTCTGGTCTCTGTCTCTCACAAGTCGGTCGCTGATTGGCTAATCATTTGGATTAGCCAATCAGCGACCGACTTGCGAGAGACGGTAACCAGAATATGGCCCCAGGTCTCGTGCCGAAGTCACTAACTTGGCATGCCTGGCTAACATTGTAAAATAGGGATCTGGCTATCCTTGTAATATATATTTATTGGTTTGAATGGCTTATGGACATAAAATGCTCTGTATTATATGAAGGATGTAGTTTTATTAAATATTTCGTAAATTCGCAACTTAATCTTTTCGGGAAATTAATTAATAGTATTAAAAGCATAAAAATTCAAATTATTGTAAAAAAAATAACTTTTAAGTTGATTTAATTTTTTACCTTAGGCTGAAAATAAATTTATTATTATTATTATTACTTTCGTTTGCCGTTTTGGCGCCCTTGTAGCATTATAAGACACGTGTTTGAGTAGTTGCACGTGTTGTTGATGTAGTGTAGTGCTTTCTCATCGAATTTTTTTGTGTTTTCAACGTCTTTAAAGAATTGCAAGATATTAGGTAATGATATAAGTGAATATATTTGTAATAAGATAGAGTAAATTTATATTTCTGTCGAATATCAAAGTAGTAGATCTTAGTTAACTTTAAACAATACTTCTTTATCGAAATCTTAGTAGAAATTACTTTCAGGACATTCAGGGGGGTCAAATAATCCCAGGAAGGGATGTTTACGGGGATGTTCTATTTTGGATGTGTCAGTCCCCGACCCTCGACACCTCCCCGTTTTCGGCTGGGCCAGCAAATGTTAAAGCAAGCTAACATTATCTAAAAATGGATGAATGAATGAAGCAAGAATAAAACTAAAAATCTGGGCTTTATTCGAACGTGGAGTCTAGCCGTTGTTATTTGGATAGAGTTAAATTCGGGTCTATCCAATCTCTAGAAGCTGCCTTTTTATGGGCATGAGCATTTTTTTTAAGCCACTAGATCAGCGGCTCGTTATCCTATGGGCGTAAAGGGCAATGATGTGGGGCCCCAAACCAATAAGATAATATCTTCCCTGAAGAAAAATGCCCTAAGTCAATACTGTACGTGGGACTCCCCCATTTCAAATATTCCTGGGCCCCATGAAGCAATAACGTGCCATTGTGTTAGGTAGGTGGTCTGTACTTTAAAATCGCACCCGGCAAAGGCCGTCACACCCTCCGTCATTAGTCTGTTGATATTTGATATATCTAATAAAGCAAGCTAATTTATTTTGCAATGGTGGTCGAAGAATGTTGTTAATAACTTTGCTAAAATTTGTTTCAATGTAGTAAATCCTCCTTTCCTGCACCTCAGACGTATGTAGCCCGATGACCGGATAATTTTTCATATCTTGACTGCTGACTTCTCATATAATCTAAACTACAGGTACTACAAGTATTATTTTTGGTTTTGGGCTTTATATTACATGAAATAATAAAAATCCCTGTTTGGAAGCATTTCCTGTTGTAAGCTTGGTACTACCTTTGATAATGCTGTAATTTGTTTACAGAATAAGTGTGCTTAATGTAGGTAATTTCCTTAGGAGTCTTTAAAAGTCAATTTCTGTAATCTAGCAATGACTGAGTGTGGATTAATTTAAGGAGGTCCAACCTGTACTAGATAATTTCTACAAGTAACAAAAAGTGACCCACTAGTGGCCGAGCAGTCTTCATACCCTGAACACTGGGAGTTTTGATGGTGGGTTTGCGCCTCGCTCGGATGAGCTGGCCACATGGAGTTTTCTGTGTTTTCTCCACGTCCGTAACGCCTAAATAGGGACCAGTTTTCCTTGGAAGGACCTCCCAGAAGGCATCCCCCTAGGCAGATCGCCCAAGTGTTGTGTTGCCGTAATCAAACAAACAAACGACAAAAAGTGGATAGTCTCTACATGATTTAATTTTAATGTTTTTAAATATAGTACAGTATATAGAATGATTTAAAATATCAACATATGCATCTTGGAAGTCCATATAAACCCTTTAATAAGTATAGTACATAGCTTCATGCATGTGCTCCCTTCTGTCATAACACAAAAGTTTGCTGTAACATTGTTGTAATGACATTTGTGTATCCATATGCTTGCCACCAACAGATAACAACTCTTGTCCTGCCATTTTGACATTAACACTAAAGTCAAGGGTCTGTGTGCCTTCGAGAGTCTCCCCTTCAAACGCAAAAGGTTTATGGTTTATATAAGAAAATCATAAAGATTTACAATAAGAAAGTGCAGACTTCTCAGACTTGCTGTATATAATAAGTTTATAATGTTCAGAATTAAGAATTGGAATTAATAGTGTGTTTAGAGTCGATTGAATTCTCATATTCATTCCTAACAAATGTATTTTAAATTATATATTAGAAAAATTGATTCTAAATATTGAAAATTTTCTCTCCTCGATTCTTTCCTACCAAAAGCTAATTTATCCACTCTCCAACCTTTATCTAAATCAATTATTTCCTGCGGATTTTCACATCATTACTTTCAAATCGTTGTTTTCTTCTGTATTATTTAGGTCTAATGAAATTTAATATTAAAATTAATTCTTACCTTTGAAATTCTCACAATGCAAGTAAAAAGCTTGCATTTATTTCTTCCAAAATAACATAAGGCGGTGTAAGGCATAGTGTTATGGGTTGCGGATCCAATTACGATTCTAAGAAACCGCAAATAAAGTACATAAATCCGAACAGATTTTAGTAAACTGTTAACTCCTACCGGTATTATCTGTATACGGTGACAGATTAATAACAGGCTGAGTGGGCTTACGCGTAAGGAAAGGAGGGGGGCCCAGTGCAAAACAATTAAACGAATGGTTAATTGATGCGTTATTTAATTTACCATAACTTAATGTCACTTTTTTCTATTCAACAAAGACTGAGACAGCCCATTTCGCTAATCGAATTCCGATTCTAAAGGTGAAAAAGTTTTATTTATTGCGTATTGTTTTTATTTAATAATTAAAGCTTTTTTAAATAAAATAAACTTTTGTATAATTTTTTAACTTTTACATTACAATGCAATAGTTTTCTTTCTATCAATTACTTCATTTCTTTATAGAATTAAATTGATGTACCATTAGAATCTGATTATATTTTGTCTTAAACGCTAGTTATGGTTGTCTCTTGGGGAAAAATTCGCTAATCCGAACAACCACGGGTTGTTTTTTATTAGCTCGGATTAGCCAGATACCACTGTATCGTGAAGATTGAAGAGGAAAATAGACGACAGATGTAATTTTTTGTCGCCATCACCCATCGTCAGACAAAAGCAGATATTCTCTGATGTCACCTCTACAATTCCCTTTTAAAGGAAATTCTAGATCAATGATTGATGTACAATATTTAAATGTTGCCATGTTATTCAAGGGGGAAATATAAATATATTAAAAACGTGTATAAAAATATTGCACTAGATATTGCGTCAAATCATAAATTATGAAACAGTAACAGTAGTAACTGAAACGATAATTGGGAATATTTCCTATATGTCTGGCGTAATATTTGAATGTCCCCTTAAGATATTTCTTATTATTATTAACGTGCATCAGCTTTTAAAAATAATTTTATCAGGAAGACATATAATAATACAGTATAAAATCCTCTTTATACTGTATAATCTTTCCGGAGGCAACATTCATTTTTGATCAACTGAAACTATACTTCTTGTCAAAGTTTAAAGGATAAAGGACTCGTTGTGGGGTCGGTTTTGCTTGCAGACAGTTGATATTGAATACATTTAATTGACGTGTGGTCGAGTCTGTATTGTAAGTATGCAAATCACTAGGTACTCGGTGGACTGAGATTTTCTCCTCACTTTACCAAAATGGTGTGGATAAGGCTGGTGTTTTAAGTTTTGTTCTTATTTCGTCCATTTTATTAATGTATTTTCTTTGATACAGAGATGAAAACTGCATCCGGGAAAAGAAAGTCGTCTAATCGAAGTGACGTTGACGGTAAACGTGCCAGAGATTACAAAAGGTGATTATTATAATTATTTTTATACGTGTAGCAACAAAGTTTGACGAGGTTTAGTATTCGCTGGCCGACGTTCTCTCATCCTCAAACAGCCACAATATAGCAAGCATTACACGATGTTTTCCAAAAGTAAATTTATACATCCCCGAATTTTCTAATGGGTTGTTAGAGCCTATCATTGCGCACAGTTTTATGTATGTTTGGCTGGGGCATAGTAGAAAGGTATAATTAAAAGGCCCTCTCTGTTAAGCCCCAACCATATTTTCTTAGAATTAAGGTTGGTTGCATAATATTAACAATTGATAAAGTTGAAAGAATGGCAATTTCAGTGATTTTAGTTTGTGTGTCAGCATCATCCTCACAACTTTACATAAACATTTCTGATGAAGAGATGATTAAATTATGAAAAATGTTAAGTATAAAGTCTGTTAATACAGCAATCATCTTAAAAAAAAAAACTAGAAATAAATATCAATAAATACATTTGACATTTAGGATGATTTATAAATAAACTTATACCATTAACAGTCATTTTCTTGTGCAATAAAATCCAATTACGATTGCTCGTCGTCACGGAATGCCTACAAATGCGCGTCCTATATTCCACATTATTTATTTATGATGATGTTTACATACATATTTTTTCTTAAAGTCTCTTTAATTAGCTTCTTTTATATATATAAACAGAGCTAAAATACTTTACAAACTTTAATTAAACTTATCACGTGCTTACAAAAGAAATTCTTTTTTTTTTTTTTTTGAACTGGCCGAGCATCGAACTTTGTTTTTTGAACTCTGTTGGACGTTGAACTTTACTTCATTTCAAGTTCCTTTTGTAAAATAAATCAGCAGTTTTGTTCGGTGTTGTGAAATGCAGAGAAACCTTATGACTGTCACACTGAAACCTTACTTGTTTAATGCTGCGTGTATCGGGTGAATGCGTCACGGACTGTAAATGCTATTAAAGAGAACCGGTGCCGAGGACTTTACTCATTTGCTAGTAGTGGTGCCGCCTCGTCGAGATGATTCAGCTCCTGTTTTTTGCTTACATCGTCGCAGTGAAAGTTTTCAAGAAGGCCTCGCCAAATGGAAAAATCACTGTTTACCTGGGAAAGCGTGATTTTGGAGATTTCGGAGAATACTGCGAACCTGTGGAGGGTGTCGTGCTCGTCGACTCCAGCTATCTGAAAGGTCGAAAAGTCTACGGGCAGGTCATCACCACTTTCAGATATGGGAGAGAGGAGGATGAAGTTATGGGTTTGCACTTTAGTCGGCAGTTGTATCTTGCCATGGAGGAGATTTATCCGAAGAGAACTAAGGACGATGCCACATCTGATCTGCAGAAACGACTGTTGAGAAAGCTGGGACCAGATGCGACTCCGTTTTACTTTGAACTACCCCAAAATGCACCTCCTTCGGTCACTCTGCAACCAAGTCCTGATGATCAAGGTAAACCTTTGGGTTTAGAATATGAATTAAAGTTATATGTCGCTGATACCGAAGAGGAGAAACCTCACAAACGCAATTCGGTTAACATGGCCATCAGGAAACTTCAGTATGTTAAATCTCCCTTGAACAATAAACAACCCAGTGCTTCCGTCGGAAAGAGCTTTGTTTTGAGTCCTGGTAAATTACAGCTGGAGGTCACTTTGGATAAAGAAATATACATCCACGGCGATAAAGTTGCTGCTCACGTGAGCATTTCTAACTATTCAAAGAAAACGGTGAAGTGTATTAAGGTATCCATCATCCAGAATACAGAAGTCACCATCGTCAACGGTCATTACAGCAAGACCGTGGCCAGTGTCGACTCCAAAGAAGGTTGTCCCATCATTCCTGGAGCCAGTTTGAACAAGACATACTACCTGTTGCCATTGGCGGCTTACAACAAGGACAAACGGGGCATCGCCCTTGACGGGATGCTGAAAGAAGGCGACACCAACCTGGCATCATCCACGGTATCTTCCGGAGATAATCTTGGTATCATCATCTCTTACATCGTAAGAGTAAGGTTATATCTGGGCGCTCTGGGAGGCGAACTCACCGCAGACGTTCCTTTCAAATTATCGAACCTAGCGCCGAATCTAACCATTCCGGAAAAGATAAAAGAAAAACCCAAGAAACAGTTGACAAGAGAGATGAGTACTGACTTGATCTTTGAGGACTTTGCGAGACGTAGGCAATTTAGCGAAGATCTAGAATAATCGACGAGCTTTCGAATGAATTTAGATAGGAAATTTACAATTAATCCTAGCGAAAAATTTAATTTTAGCTTTGTTTCTCTTAAATAAACTGCAACGAAAACATGTAAGCCTTGTTTTGATTATTAAAATTAATTTAAATTAAAGTTCTTATTTATTTATTTCTTTAATTGTTGGTTTGAATGTAATGCTGATGGAACTGCTTACCTTATATCATTCCATAAAACAGTTCTGGATTGTATGCTGACACATTCTATAGTATGACATCAGTCTGCATTAAGTTTCCTATAATTAGATCTTTAAGAATGACAAAATCATAAACTATTTTAACACAGAACTTTAAAATAAACTACAGAACACCCCAACAAGCTTGAACAACAAATTTAGGACTTATGGTAAGTTTTTGTGTCCAAAATCCCTAAGATTCCACTTTAAGAGACGATGAGAAGTGTGTCGTGATTGTTGCCGCCGTATTCCGTTCAGAAAAACATGGATCATCTCGCCACATTTAATAGCATTTGCTCTACAAATGGCTCTACACAAGAGCCTCTTGTAGAGCAGAGCTTAATGGTGGATTGACAAATTGACAGCATATATTCTTTGATTTTATAGATCATTAATTGTTCAGTTGTAGAGTTAATGTGCAAGACTGTTACTCAGTTTGAAAAAATACTAAATTTATACACATGAACAATTTTATTTTATAAGCAATGATCTTAAAAAAGCATTATTTGCATGATTATGGGTGATTGTAGCATTGCGTGTGCTGGATACTTGCAAACATTATGATCGTCCACTAATAATGGTATCTTAAAAATTGGAATTGTTCGATTATCGTTAGAGAATTTAATTTGATGTGGGGACAAAAATTTCTGATAAGATGACAATGAAAAGATTTTGGACAGTAATGAGGAGGTTACTCGGATTGCCCTCTCCCATATTAGCACAGATATATCTCCTCCTCGTTTTGCCAAATCCTCGCCTTTCTGGAAAACAAATGTCGACTTCAGATCTCATATTACCAGGAGTGTTCAGTGTGTCGGAGGAGCATTAATGGACGATCCTTATGGCTACAAGTTTGGGTTTTTGCGTACATTGTGGGAGAATTGACCATTCTGATCCAAACGTTACGATTTGCCAGTTTCCATTTTATAAAAAGAGAATAAGGTAGATGGGAAATAATATGGTTTGTGTTTTGTAATTTTATTTAGAACACCAATAGCTTTTATTTGCTCTCAAATAAAAATCAAAGGGGGATGAAATTTAGGATTTCTAAGAGACTTTATATGATATGCTAGATTGATTGCCAGAGACTAAAATTAATTGATTGTATAAAACTTAAAATAGCATTTATTAATCTAGATATTCAAATTTCTAATTCACATTTAGCTCTGAAGGAGAGTCAGATGTAAATAATTTATCTGAAAAGTCCAACGGAAACACGAGGGGTCAAGTAGTCGAGTACGATTCGCCACGTGCCGCAATGTCTTCCCTTCTAAAACCCCACAAACTCGAAGATTTCTTTAGTTGTTATTGGGAAAAACAGCCTCTGGTTGTCAAACGTTCCGACAACATAGGTGCACCCCCGAATCTGTTTTCTAAGAACATTTTACTCGACTTACTAAAAGAACACGCATTGAAATTTGTGGAAGACATAAACGTCTGTCGTTACGTCGACGGAGCGAGAAAGAATTTGAACGGAAAAGGCAGAATAACAGTTAAAAAGGCACTGCACTTGCTGGAGAAAGAAGGGGCGACCTTACAAATCCATCAACCTCAGCGATTTGTAGTAAGTGGAAATTAAACGAGAAAATAATAAATAAAAACTTTTAATGGCATTTAAATTGTGTACGTTTCTTCTCAGGATGAATTATGGAAGCTAATGGAGAAATTAGAATGCTTCTTTAAGTGTCTGGTCGGCGCTAACGTTTACATAACTCCTCGCAATTCGCAAGGTCTCTCTCCGCATTACGACGACGTCGAAGTAGGTTGGTTTTTTAAATTATTTACGCAAATGTAGAGTTTTGTGCGGAACAAGAATAAACGCGTTTGATTCTTCTTTAGGTTTTTATAATTCAGTTAGAAGGATGCAAAGAATGGAAACTGTACAGACCGCCTGTCGAACTTCCTCGGGAATACAGCAGCGATCTGACGCAAGAAGAAATCGGCGAGCCAACACACTCCTTTACTCTTTACGTAAGTTAAGAAGCTTAAGAAGTAAATAATATTGAGTTGTCTGAAAAGTTTCCTAGGTTTTTAAAGAAAAACCTAGAAACCTTTTGGCAAATATGTCATTAACCAACGATGTCTTTGCCAAAATATTGTTTTGAATATCCTTTGCCATCTTTCTTCTAATTCGAATCCTGCCATAGTAGAAACATAGACCCTGCCAATCAAAGAAAAAAAATCGTTTGAGGTGTCTTGTTACTTCATCTTGGTTCTAGAATGTTTTCCTTGCGCAGAATTTTGTAGAGACTGACTGGAATAAACAAAAAATAGTGAGCAAAATGGATGCTCCTTTTGTTTCCATTTGAATTTAATTGATTGCTACATGATGACAACTGTATGAGAATGCATGTTTCGGAGGAATACGATCCCTTGTGTGGGCCATTTTTGCACAAAACTCAAAGGTCTTCCACAAGCTATCATATGGTCATTTTCAACCGCAACTTCGAAGATCTTCCTGCCCAAGATTTGTCTTTCAATATCCAATTTCCCATCTTTCAGTTGTCTTTTTGTGATAGTACCCTCCTCTCAAACAGGGTCGATTGTTCTCCATTTCAATAAATAAAAAAGAGTAAATTCAAATTTAAAATAACATGCATATACATATACATTTTATAATGTTGGCAAATGAAAAATTTGACTTGTTTTTACAGCCTGGTGATTTATTATACATGCCGCGAGGCACTGTCCATCAGGCAAGAACCCCGAGCACTTCCAAAGACTGTTCCACCCACGTTACAATTAGCACTTATCAAAAACAGTAAGTTTTGCCATCCTTTAATTGTTTTACTTGTGTTCCACGCGCAAATAAAATTATACTTAAACAATTAATATAGTACCGTCGGAGACTATTTGATGACAATGATGCCTAAAATAGTAGAGGCGGCCATGAATGAATCCGTAGAATTTCGTCAGGGCATACAACTCGACTCGCGTCCTTTTGAAGTCAAAAAGGTAAGGACTGTTACTTTGACAATTGGTGTAGTATTTCAAAGTGTCTTAAAGAGCAAAAAATCTATAATTCTTACAGGAAATTGTAAAGTCGTTATTGGAAAAGTTACCGGAAGTTTTGGAGAATATGGAGATGGTCCCGTCTTGCGAAAAGTTGCAAGACTACATGAAGTTTCGACTTCCGCCGTTTGGCGTGCGGCAAGAAGAAGTATTGGAGAGCACGCCAGAGGGAAGTCCTCCCCGTATAAAATCTTTAGTGTCCTTAAAATATCCGGACCACGTTCATTGTATTTTATCTGAAGACGAAGAAGGTGATTTTATTTTAATCTAATTAAATTCTTAGCGGCTTGAATTAAATCCTCTTACTGTTACAGACGATGACCTTTCCAAGTACTTGTTTGTATACTCTTCTGTTATGAACGATCGAAGCAGGCACATGATGAGCAGAGGTGACGATGAGGACGAGATCGAACAGGTTTATTTCTTTCTGTATTTTTTGTTTTATCTTATTACATGTGAACGTTAAAATAAGCTTTGCTCTTTCAGATCAACAGCACTTTAAAGTTTCCGCCTCATTACGCAAAAGCCCTGGAGCAATTACAGGAACGTGTGGAGATGCGTGTTTCCGATCTCGAGCTTCCCTCCGAAAGCGACAAACTGAATTTGGTCACAACACTGTGGACTCAGCATCTTATTACAGTAGTCGACAGTTCTTGAATATTAAAGCAGATCCGAATTTTGTATATAATTGTGTTAAATGGAAAACACTCGAGTATGTTACTGTGCATAAAACACACATGGTTTTTAATTTGTTATACAATAAATTGTTTGAGATGATTTATATATTGCTCTTTTCTTTGCCTTTCGCTTTGTAGTGGTAGGTAATTCCTCTGATTATAAAAATCTGCATCATATATGGGATGTACAGAACATAATGTATTATTACCATTTCAAAATGCTTTAGCTTTAAGTCACCCATCACAGTTTGACACTGTTTCAGAACAGAATTCGATACAAGATATCCATCAAAACAGGTACACCGTAGACACAGGTAAGGTGTGAAGAATTTTTGAGTGGTGCTTTGGCATGCAAACTTGTTTATACCTACACACTTCAAACTGTTTAAGTGTGATGGAAAGGCAATGAGCCTTGTCACCTATAGTTTGTGCTGAAATCCCCGAGTTCTTGGAAAAGATGATCTTTTCGGACAAAATGACATTCCACACATTGGATCTGGGACTTGGAAAATTGGGAACATGAGCTAACCCCAAGCTTAATGTGCAGTGTTCCAGTGAAGTGGTGCAGTGTTCCAGTGAAGTGCACCGCACATTATGCTCGAAATTTTTTGGAGCTTAATGTGCAGTTTTGAAGCATAGAACTCAAGAACCAGGAGCCGTATTCTGGTCTCGTCTCTTGCAAGCCGGTTGCTGATTGGCTAATCATTTGGATTAGCCAATCAGCGACTGGCTTGCAAGAGACCAGACCAGAGACGGTGACCAGAATATGGTCCCAGGTTTTTCCATACTGACAAACAATCCCACACAAAGTGGTGAGGTTATGCCAATGACCCAGCATACCATACAAAAGTGGCCAATATCACTGAATTTACATAGAAGAATCACACACACATTTAAAACAATCATCATGTTATTCAATCTGCTATACATTTTGAGAGGAACAGGTGGAATGAAGTTTTCCAGATTCGAACTGCACAAGTTACACTGCAAGACAAAGAATTGGTTTTGTTTATCCTTGTATTGTTTTAAAGCTAGGCATTTCAAAATAGTAACAATGAATTATGTACTGTACACCCCACAGGTCATTGCATTTTGAGAAATTGTTTTATATATACACAATTTATTAGACGCCACAAAAACTTTGACCACTTTACACAAAAATAAATGCATATATACACAGAAGTTACAAGTAATTTCAATCTATATCCCGCATGTTTATCTTAACATTCGGTTATTTGTGATCCACGCTCTTCCCCTATAAATCGGTGGTCCCGGGATTTCCCCATTACATCCCTACACGACAACTTTGAGCAAAGAAATTAAATGTATCCAGTTGTAAACTCAATTTGAATTTTGACCGGTGTTTCTTATCAAAACAAAACATTATTAAAAAAATTAATGTTAGTATAATCCACAATTACTTCTGCTTACCCGTACGATAAAGGTAATGAAAGATAATACCGAAATAACTTAAAAAATATACACAAACGTCTTTGTATTTATGTGTAATCTATGTCGGACCATATCGTTTCCACTTCGCTCTCTTCTAGTTCAACCTAAAATGGAAATACTTGTCAGCAATTTAAGTAAAATGTGGCCAAAATTTCTATACTAAAATTACTTCATTTTCCGAATCGCCGATGTCTTCTGCCTCCACTTCGTAAGAACTTTCTAGAGATTCGGGATGCTGTTCGACTCTCTGCCTCCCTTCCGCTGCTCTGGCATTATTTGGATCCATGCTGTAGAAATAAAGATTTATTTGACTGGTTTTCTTTTTTATTAATACTTTGTTAAGATATGATCCTTACTTTAGAACTATGCTGAAGTGGTGTAATGCTTTTTCGTGTTCGTTTGTTCTCGCTAATAAATCACCCAACATCTGATGTAAGCGACTGGTGCTCTGCAGTTCAATTTGTCTTCTGAGACTGGAAGAAGATACTTTTCTATAAATTTTTTTGTCAATATTTAATGATTTAAAGTTTGGTTTATGCTCCAACGGTAGCAGAGTTCTACTACGTTCACTTGACGTCAGTGCAGATTTAGCTGCCGGCCAGAGTTTGACTACAAATTGGTCAACGTTCTTGCCAAATCTGGCAACAGTTAGCAATCTCGAAACCCTGTACCACCGCTGAACTATAAACCGATGATTGACAAAATACCTTACAGTTCAATTCCTTTCTGATATTGGCGTTCCTGCTCATAAATTTCGGTCAGCTGATACACGGCTTCGAGATACGTGGAATCTTGTTTTAAAGCCTTTTCTAATAGCGTCTTCGCCTAAAAGTTTAAACAATTCAAAACACCTTCGAGAAAATTTGCCGAAGTATCGCGGCAAGGACAATTACCTTTTCGACGCATAGTGGATCTTTGGTTAAAACGGAAGCATACAACTAGATAACATGAAAGAAACAGAGTTAAAATTTAAATACTTTTGTCTTAAATCCCGAATAACGCAATATCCATTTACCGTTAAGGATCGAGGTGTCTGTCCCAGTTGTTTGCAGGCATTACTGGCAAAAGCGATGGCTTCACGTGTACGATGGAGTGCCATGTAACAGTCGACTAATCCTAATTTCAAGAAAAATAATTATAAATATCTCTAGTTTATAGCAGAGTTTAATTAATAACTGGGCTTGAAAAATTTTGTATTAACGATATGTAAAGACATTTGCCAATTAGTATCGCAAGCAAATTGTAATGTTTAAAAGCCGGAGTGACAAGGAAAGGGCAAGTATCTATAGCGGCACACAAAAGGAATTTGCTTCTGTACATTATATTATTGTAATTAACTATTCAGATTAATGAATCTTTGAGCTCACTACAGTAACTCACTCTTCATGAACATTACTCATACTGAAAAATGCCTCGTGTCAAACTGTCACTTAGTAAACTTAATCCTTTCATATAAGTATCAGAAAGGATTATAATTCACACAGAAAAAGAACAACGCGTAAAGATAAATATAGGAAGTAAAACTCGAGAAAAGAAGAGCAAGAGCAAGAACAAGACAAGGGAGCGATCAAATGTCAACACAAAAAGGATAAAAACTGCCTTTTCTTACCTTTATGAGTCTCGTATCGAAATGGTGCGATTTTATAAGCTTCTCCGAAATGGGTAATGGCATCCTGTACCCTCTTCAATTCGAGCAATATAGTACCTTTCAGCAACAATGCTTCGACGTGACGAGCGTTTATCATACAAGCCTAACAAGTGTGACGTAAATAATACTTCTATTTGATCTCGGAAACATGCAATACGTTACAAGAAAGAAATCTCACCTTTTGCGCAAAGTAAATGGCTCGGGTACCTTTCTTTGCCACGTAGCAATAATATGCCATTGCTATCCACGGTTCTGGAGTTGAATCGCTTATCGACATCAGCTGAGTGGATAAACTTTTAAAATAGTAATAATATAATATTGAAACACACTTTATTCTCTGTTTTATTGAAATTTAACTCACTTTTCTAATTCTTTCACTTTCCTATCTTTGGCTAACAGGGCCGAGTATATGTCCATTCCTTTCAGGAGAAGCGAATCGAGACTATGGGCCTAACAAAAAATTCGGAGACTTATAACTCCAAATTAATAAAATTTCTTAAATCACACGAACCGAAAGTTACCCGCTCCAGAACGACGAGAGCGTTGGTGAAATCGCCGCTATAATAATAAGCTTCTCCGAGCGATACGAGGATGTCCACGTTGTCACGCAGGAGAGTCTAATCAAAATAATGAAACATCAGTTTAAATTGGTTTAATTATTAAGTATATAATGACTATACCTTTGATTCTAACTGCTTAAAGGTGGCGACAGAGAGAGAGAGTTCTCTGGCGTGAAGATGAGCATGAGCCTTAATCCATGTTGATAACCTAGAAAGATTGAAGTGAGGTGTAATAATGTCTGTTGCTATTACGACAATATATTGAATTTTAAATTCCTATTTTGATAGATTGTAAGTTTAAGAAGATGCATATGCTTGTCAAATTTTAATGGAGATCATTAACTGGCAAGACTACACGGCATTGCTCTTTATTAAATAATAATGGTGCTCGTCTAAGGTGTATCTTTGTTATACTGTCGAGAAATGTGTAATACTGATTTTGTCGATATTGAGTGGTATCAAGGAAAATCCTGGATCTTTTCTTCTTGCACTCCACCCACTTCAACCGAAAATTCAGCTGTAACTATGGGAAAAAGACTACACTCACAGAGTGAACCTACCTTAAAGGTAGCAAAAATAGATGATCTCTTCTTTATCTAAGGAAATTAAATCCTATCTGGATGAAAGGTTTGATAGACTGTTTTCGGTTTTGAATGATTCAACAGCCAGAACAGATTAGCCGACTAATTTGCATACCGATTATGATGATTGACTATGCCAACTCGAATTAAGAACAGACATGATGGCGAATGAACTTAGAAAAAAGAATATCTTAGTTCAAGGACTATCTTTCAGTGATGGTGAGATTGAGGGGAAGATTCAAAACCTTCTTGGAACAATATTAGGAGAAGCAAGGGAAATTCCAACTGAGAGAATTATAAAATTATAGAAATATATTATTATTTCTGTTTATTCTCTGGATTATAGTATCCTAATAATTGGAGATTTCAATGCGAGAATTGGTACAAAAATGCTAATTCCATTTCATCTCCACGTTCATCAAATGACGCAATAGTTAATAAAAGAAAACAATTAATAAATTTAATTAAAACCTATTGATTATACATAATAAATGGTCGTCATCCGAATGATACTCCGGCGAAATTTACCTATTTATCTCCTTTGGGTGCTTTGGTGATTGACTATATTATCACGAGTGAGAGATTGATAGATTGTCTTGAATTACTAAATGGAGGATTGTTTGTTTGCACTCTTGTGGATGGTTTGATAATGACTGTAAATTAGTAAAAAAAAAAAAAAAAATTAAAAACAGAGCATCGAGAGCTTTTCGTAATAATAGAAATAAAGAAAATCTTGTTGAATTTTGCAATCTTAAAACTTGTTTTTGTTCCTTGAAGAGAAAATATTGGAAAAGAGTGAATTGTCACTTACAAAAGGAATTTTGGTCGATTAATTATAAATAAGATAAACTTCAAGAGGAGTTCCGATAATAATATTTTGATAAACAGCCAGGAAGCCTTTCTAGAAGAAAGTTTTTGTTCCCGACCTTACAGCGAGCCCTAAATGCTACAGTCGAATGTTTTTCTCCAATTCTAGATAATCCATTTTCCCTGAATGAACTACAATTTCTAAGTTAAATAACAAATCAGCTCCTGGTTCTGATGTTTTTTGAACATGACAAAAAATCTGCCTATTTTTCTACAAGACGCAAAGAGAGTCCTGCTCGGAATGATTTACGAGAAAGGGGATAATTTTGCTCAATAACTATTGCTCAATTGCATTGCTGAATAATTTCATAAAGTTGTTTACTGGATTACTGTCCAGTCGATTGATTAAGTGGCCGAATAGCTATAGCGTAATTTTGAAATTTCAAGGTGAATTTGTCAAAGGGTGAGAAACCAGTTATAATGTTTTTATTCCGAATGCATTAATACAAATAGTCTTAGCTAGGAAAAGATGGAAAGTTTACTCAGTTTTTGTCGACTTGGATAAAGCTTTCAATAAGGTCAATCTTAACATTTAGAGTGGAAAACTTCAGAGATTGGGCATTTCTAATTCCTTTACTTGTTTAATTATAAACTTATTATGTAATACAAACTATCGCATACTAGTGGATTCCAAGTTCTCTAAGTGTTTTTCTAATAGGGATCTACTCTAGGATGAACCCCTAAGCTCTCTTCTATTTATTTTATTCATCAATGATCTGCCTAATATTTTCTCCCGCTCAGAAAGCTCGGGATTTTTCTTAAATAAAACAGATGATTTACATCGTCTTCTATACACAGACGATATACTGTTGTTGGCTGACTCTAGAGTCTCTCTTCAAAGAAAAGTCAACTGAATGCATAGATATTTGGAAGAAAATGATCTTACAATTTGTATTCGAAAATCAAAGGGAATTGCTTTTTGTAATGGTGGAAGACTTCACCGCTTTGATAAAATTTTCATTAACAACTGTGGAACTAAGACCTGTCTTACTTGTCAATATATCAAGGCGATGGTGCAATTGGCTATTTAAATTATGATGTAAGCTAGCTCGTTAAAAGTTTAATTATACGGCTGCGCCTGACTAAATTTCGTATTATGATAAAGGGCCATCGTTTGGAAATTTCTAGTAACAGACTTTGTCCTTATTGTAAAAGCACTGTTGATTCAGTATCGACTGATATCTTTGCTTTTTGTCTCGTGTTATTTCATCTAAAAAATAAGATCATATGTGAAGAATTTAAAATGATTCACGTTAAAAAAGTTAATTTATCTAAAATGGCCCTTTATAATGTATACTCCTTTGTTTTACAATCATTGGCATATTTGTAATTAATGTTATCTGTTTATGTACTATATATACTCCTTTTATGTTATTTATTTGTGTAATATCTAAATTCATTACTTGTTATCTGTTTCTCCCCCTTTTGTACAATTGAAATTGAATCAATAAACTAATAATAATAATAATAATAATAATTAATGCAAAATTTCATCAATGATTACATGCATTATATATGTTCCAAGATACTCCCCACGTGTCATTTAATACGTTTAATTACTGAGGTTGCGACCACCCCAAATAATTCATATAAACAGAAGACCATGGTCTGTGGATGCACAATTTGTCTACGGGAAAAATGTGCTGTATGAATAAAGCCAGCCCAAGTAAAAATAACTTAAAATTTTATCCTCCCTTTTCCCTTTTATATATGAGAGAGGTGATCATGCAATTTATGGACAGGAGCAAAAACTTACCTTAAATTCCATTTATGAATATTCTAGTCATTTGTCTTTCTCAAATCTAACATTAATCTAACATTTGTCTTCTATTAATCTAACATTGTTGCCAGCATTGTATGAAAGGTGTCCAGGAAGCCATTTTTCAATAGCGTGCAAAGTATTGTGCATTTGATGATCACTGCTGTATGTGCAACCTCTGCCACACCCTACAATGAAGTTTGTAGAGCTGTGATGACGCTATGCATGCTATCAAAAAATAGCTTGCAAGATGCTTTTATTGCATGTGTACAAAGCCGACAAAAATTTGAAAGATTCATTGTGTTTTGAGAAAGACAAATGGCTGGAAGATTCCAAAAATGATGTTTAACGCAAGTTTCTTGAGTCAAAATACCAATACTGTAATTAATATATATATTAATTTGATATACCATTCCATATTGGGTATTCCCGAAGAAGAATGAAGCATCAATGAAGCGACTTCCGTTCCCTTTACACCAAGAGCCAAGAGACCTAAAGCGGCTTCGACGGCCATTGGACAGACCCTGTCGAAACCAAAAATTTATTAAAATTAAGAAACAGAATCTTCTTCACAAGTAAATTAAGTACCATACTTTAACACTTCTTTATAACCGGTAATCGCAGATCTCTCCATTCCGCTCTGATGATACAATTTTGCTAGAGCCATGTTAATTTTTGGTGTTCGCTGCTTACCGGGGATACTTTCGAGCTGTGATGAACGTATAAAATATTTTAAAATTGTTTAATAATATGTTATGGCAAAAGACGACGTAAAAATTCAACTTACGACGCCTATGGACTGACTGTATTGCTTCAGATGTAGATGACAGAGGTAGATCTGATACTTTACATCGACTTCGGACGCCATTTCCTGATTTATCGACACCTTTTTAAAAGATTTATAATAAATAAAATCTGTAAAAAAGTAAACTTACTCCCTGTGTAACTCCTTGAGATTTTCCTTTAGCTTTTGCCATAGATTTCTTTAGTTGTAGAGCCTTACGAAAAATTGTCTTTAAAAAAATGTAAATATTAAGATTTTGGACTTAATTACATAAATAAATTAAACATAATAGTAATGAGACTAACCTCTGCTTTTCTGTAATCCTTTGCGTGATATAACGAATCTCCATAATAGACCAAAATCTGATATTTTGCAGACGGCAGGAGTAAATCGTGACTGTGATCGCTAATTGTCAGTATCATGCTTGCCTGGAATTGTAAAAAAGTCATGAATTTATATAAAATATAGTTATGGGATTCTCAGTTAGGAGGTTGACACACTTTAATCATTTAATTATCGATTGTATAGGAAAGTTTAAAACAGTTAACACTGCTAAAAAGGACTGTAATTGTTTTTTTATCTTGTGAAATAGAGCAGAGTCCGCATTGTCATCAATAAACAATTGCATGTTGTGTTATAAAAGAGATGTAAACATTGAAAGAAGGCTAGATCGGTTGGTAAATGTATCAGTATTCCTTGCCAGGAAGGATTGACATCAGCCTGCAAAGGATGTACTGCTAGTTCTCCTGAACTGAAAGAAAAGTGGGAAGAGCAGACAGGTAGAAAGTATACAGTTTCTCATCTGGTCGAATAGCATGTGGATGTGAAGTGGTGTTAGGTATTCGCATGAACTCAAATTTAACTTCCACAAATCTGAAGGTAAACTCCATGTTAAGCATAGAAAAGTGAAGGACTACAACTGGGTTCGCTTGATGCATACAGTAAAGTTTCAGACAAATCAAATGGATTGGGGATGCATATTTGGTAAAGGTGTCGGCACTACACCTTTACAAATGAATCTGCAAATACAGTGTTTAATTGATAAAATAACCCACACTTCACTGTCAAGTCAATTTCAACAATCAAAGAACAATTTTGTAACACAAAATCCCATATCTTCCAAGTCAACTCTGTTGTATCACCGTACCAAGTAGAGTAAAACATGTTCTTTATTCGATTGCTAGCATTATTGTCACTTAAACTGATACACAAATTGTCGTTTAGTAAAAACAATTCCCGTAAGAAGCCCAGATCCAGTGTTTCATCTTTTAATTTTAAGTTAAAAACTGAGATATAACCTATCTCAATGCATTCTAGAATTAAAGAATTTATTTATACTATGAATGTTACATTACCATTGCGAGAACAGCTGGCATATTATGGTTACAAATACCGTGGGGAAGAAGCGGCCTGAAAATAAACAGCAAAAGCAGGGGGTGTGTTAGAAGAGTTTGGTATAGAATACTAGAAGAAACTTGTCTACACTACACTTCAGTCTTGCAAAGCCATTTTGGCAATTCTAATTAAAGCTCAAATTGGCCTTACATTGTTTTAGAATCTTATTTGACAAAAATTAACTGTTTATATTATATATTTTGGGCCTACTTTAGTGAGAACCCTTTCTTTTTGTTTTCATAACCGGAAATGGCAAAGTGTCTGTTAACAGTATTGGCGACGCTACGGCACAAAATAACACTAGTTAATTCAATGTAGCATTACAAATAAGTGCAAATGGTTTAGTATAACAAGCTTAAACAGCTCTCCCATTTCTCTTATAATTTAAGGAGAATGCTTGCATATGGCCATCCATTAATTGCATACACAAATCAAAGAGGTCACAAGAAGTGAACCGACGTACGCGGCAGAGAGGGAGAAGTACCAAAAACAGATTACTAAACTTTAAAATTAGTTAGTTCAAAAATGTGCAGATAATACCTGTTCCACTAACGTGACATTCTGCCTTATCTCTGCCCTCCCTGAAGCCCTGTCACCGCCAGATAAGCAAACCGACAACGTAACATTTCAAACAAAACGGGATACATTATCAGCTCGATTATTGTCAGGCAACACGTCCATTTTGAATGCCGAACTCTATGCATGCGGCATACAATGGGAAAGTGGCATGTCATTTCTTCGTTCTGCTAAAAAATGTATGCATTTTTCCTTTGAGGTTTATATAATTTCCATTCAAATAAGATTATTAACTGTTTTCCATTGAATATATGACATTTAGTTGTAAAAAAATGTGTAAAAACGCAAATTTACATTCATTTAATGTTAAAAAAACCAATTCTTTGACTGAAATATGCTTATGTGGATAGGAGTTACTTTTAGGTATTTTGTATACACACATCTACCTAAGCATTTACCTAAAAGTAACCTCTAACGTTCGAATTGTGTTTAAGTTTAATTTAAAGAGTATTAGTGTATTTCATGTAAATTTATTACCAAATTTATATAAATACAAACCCACCAAATTAGTTACATTGCTGTATAGACCTTGATCGTAAAGAAGTTTGAGTTGGTTGTACAAAGACATTTTCAGTACCATGAAAAGCTTCTCTATCTTTTCAAATTTAGAGTGTTAAGTGTTGCCAACTGTAAATCATTCCAGCTGGCAGCACTGACTGCTACTCGATGTACATGTTTTATTAGAATTTTTATAATTATACTGAATTAATATTAGTAAAAAATAATTTACAATTTTTATATTTAATTATATATATATATATATATATATATGGTATGTCGATAATAAAATTCTTAATTGCAAAACGGAATTATTATTATTATTATTATTATAATAAATCACAATACGAAATCTTACCGGCGCGTAACAATTAATATTCTATAGTCGTGTAACTAAAATCTAACTTAATCCTAACTTAATACTAGGGAAATGACAAGGAAGATAGGACAGCGGGAAGGTAGAAGAAAAGAAGAGATAACTTCACTCGGGCCTTTCTTATGTTCTGGTGTCTTTGCGCTTTGGGTAGGACTGTCTCAACGACGGTGGCTCTTGCTTCCACTATGTTCTTAAATACGTCAGTCGTCGGGTCTCTAATTCTGAAGATTCCGATTTATCTGGCGGTGTCCGCAAGCCTTAAGATCTGATTGTGGATCCTCCTCAGTCCGTCACTCGATTCTCGCAAGAACTTTCTTTGTTCTTCGCTACGTGTCCCTTCGACACGTCTCGCTCTCCTCGTGTCTCGTCGACAACTCCCTTTTTCCCTTCTACCGTTTATTGTTCTCCTTTTGCTCTCAGCACGACTAATCCTACCCACTATTGTTCTTTCCTGTTTTAAGAATGGCTAATCTCACCCAAAGGCTATAACAGTCATTTGGAAGGTTCTAGAAGGAACAGACAAAGAAAATAGAAGAAATAGGGATAGAAAAAGATTGGAATTATCTATATATATATAAATGAATGTATTTGTGTGTGTATGTGTGTCCTTCATGCATTACCACACCGTTTATCCGATTGCCGTGAAACTTTGAGAAGTTTTTTAATATACTCCCGTGAAGGTTTGTGGCGTAGTACGATTGCCATGAAGCTTTGGGAAGTTTTTTAATACACTCTCGCGAAGGATTCTGAAAATGAATAATAATAATAAGTTTCAATGAAAATGATAAAATGTAAATTTAATTTTATCATAACGAATTTGCTTGAATATCCTTTCTTTTGAGATCGCAGCAATGCGCGACGGGTAAGCTAGTACTGTATACAATTAAGATACATATGTATATATGGCCGAAGGCCACAGTAAAGATGTGGACAGACCAAACACTAGGCGACATTTTCCTCCGGTAACCAGTCACGCGACAAACAAATATGGCCGCCTTCATTAACATCTCTATTGTTGTCTGGACTGCTGAGCGTAACAATCAACGAGATGTTATCTGTTACATAACCCTTGTATCAGCTTATCTAATCTAGTGAAGCTTTCAACAAGCCAGACAGGAATTAAAATGGCTGCTACTAATGCTACAATTAATGAAAGTATTCAGAAACACAAAGATCTATTTTATAGAATATCTCAAGAAATCTGGAATCATCCGGAGTTGGGTTTCGAAGAGGAGTTTGCCCATCGATTGCTAACGGATTCACTCGACAAATTAGGATTTAGAACACAGAAAAATTACGTACTTCCAACAGGATTCAGGGCCGAATTTTCTAACAACTGCAAAGGTTAAGCGTTAATTTTTTTTAAATATATTAATTGCTTATTTGGTTTAAATTTAAAATTTGGCAAATTTAGGTCCGGTTGTGGCAATTCTTTGCGAATACGATGCGCTTCCAGGTATGGGGCATGCTTGTGGGCATAATTTGATAGCTGAAGCTGGCATTGCTGCTGCAGTTGCCGTTAAAGCTGTACTCGAAACGGATCCTTCCGTAGGAGGAACGGTAAGTTTCCGCATTGCGTATTGTATTTTAAAGACTATAAGTCACTAAATTTTGATTACATTCAGATCGTTGTATTTGGAACTCCCGCCGAAGAAAATGGAGGTGGTAAAATTCACTTCGTTAAAGCTGGAGCGTTTGAGAATGTCGACGTAGCTTTAATGGTTCATCCGGGAAGGAGCAATATAATTTTCAAGCCTAACATCACCCGTATAAATGTAAATAAACGTTAAGCTTAATTTTGAGGGTAGGGATGAGTTTCATAAAAAAAAATTGTACATGCTAACGGGTAAAATGGTGGTCATTAAGTCCGACTCTACTGAAGATACACTCGACTCCCATTATCTCCCCACCCTCACGACCTTTAACCATCAAAATTTAATAGCATTGATCCCCCTAATAAACAAATCTTCCTGAAAAATTTCAGAAATTTTCCACAAAAAGCACGGGAATTATCAAGCTTCAAACAGGGTGAAGAAAATTGTGCCTCTCCCACACACACTAATTCCACGTTTCAAGGTGTCCTGAGGTGTCCGAAATTGTAAAAATCTGGGGTCATTTTTTTGCGGGATCGACAATTTTCTTTTATTTTTAAAAAAACAGATTCAGAATAATTGAATATTCTTCTAGATAACCGCCATTTTCAAAGGAATCTCGAGTCACTCTTCAGCGAGTCCATGGCTAGCGAGAAATGCACTAGATGCTGCTGTTAACAGTTATACTAGTATAGGTCTTTTGAGGCAACAGGTCCATCCTGAATGCAGAATTGGAGGTTTGTTAAATTTCTTTCAACTCCCGATTGTCTTTATAAATTGTAATACGTCATCGTTTACAGTTATAATCAGTAAAGGAGGCGAAGCGCGCAACGTCATACCCAGCGAAGCTGAAATGCAACTTGGAGTAAGGACTCGAAATATGTCCGAATTGGATGAATTAGTCAAAAGGATCGAAGCCTGTTGTCAATCTGGAGCTGCTGCTGCCGGGTGTGACGTGGACTTCATCACGGAAGATGATGCGTACGATAACATGTTTTATAACAAACCGTTAGGCATGCGATTCAAGAAACATGCCGAAGAACTTGGTAAGTAGAAGCAGGAGTGTAATGTGAGGAATTCAGTAATGTATAATTTTTGAATCTATCTATACAGGTTTACAGTTTGTGGAACGTTCAGAAGATATTGGTAGAGCCAGCACCGATATGGGTAACGTTTCTCAGGTTGTACCAAGTATTCATCCAGTGTATCGTATAGGGAATACCCCCAATCATACTATACAATTTGCCAATGTTGCAAGGATGGAAGAATCGCATCTGTCTTCTTTACAAATGGCAAGAGTGATGGCTCGTACATGCGTGGATGTATTCGAGGATCAGAAACTTTTAGAAGAAATTAAAAAGTATTTTTTAGAGAATAAAAGAGCAATGTAATTCTTCTAGTGTGGTACGTGTACAGGCCACACTGTGTTGCAGTACAACCTTCAAATTAAACCCATTATAACAGGCCTGGCTCGGTAAGGACTCTAAAACTCTGGTTTAGATGAGTTATTATGATGCCTATGATAACTTACTAGATCTTCATCTATACGGGAATCGAACCCGAATCCTCCAGAGTGCTTACTGACTTTCTTCTAAGAAAATCCTTCAGTAGAGCTAATAGATTTGTAAATTTATGTTTAACTTTATGTAATTTTATAAAATATACTTTAATAAAATCAAATACTTTGATTCATATTAAATCTGCTGTTTGAATGATAAACAAGTTGCCATGTCTCGCCTGTTTAACATGAACATGCAATTCTACCGATATATTGTAAAATTTAGTGTTTGTATACATACTTCACATGTATATAGTATGCGTGTGTAAGTGTGGTTATATATATATGAGTCACTTAATTTGTAGAAATTGAAATCTTAAATGAGTATACGAGTATATCTTGTGTTTTGCAACACAAGTCAAAATCCACATACAAAACTCAGCTTACATCTCTGATAACATAATTTTGATTATATTTCTTTTTTTCTATATACAAATACATAGACTCAACTGCACTTATCAGCATTTTAAAATCGGCACTGATAACTTATAAAGTGATTAAACGTACAAGGCCGACGATAATATAAAATCTAGTTCAACGTTCAATAGATTGAAGCAGACAAATCAAAATGGATGCCACTACAGTAACAATTGACGAAACGTTCGACAAATACGGCGATTTATTTTACAAAATATCCCAAGAAATATGGAATAATCCAGAATTGCGTTTCGAAGAGGTTAGAGCTCATCGGTTACTCACCGATAACCTGGAAAGTTTGGGATTTACAACGGAGAGAAATTACATTCTTCCTACCGGTTTCAAAGCCGAATTCTCTAATAATCCAAAAGGTTAAGTAAGATGTTAACATATTTTTATTTTAAACTGGTAGTTTTTCGATCCTGTTTTTGAAGCTGGTACTAAGTATCGGAAAATCTGGCAACTCTGTAGAACATAGTTGTGCTGTAAAAAACGGGTCGAAAATAACACTGTGGGCGTTTGAAATTAATAGATTGATAATTTTAGGCCCGGTCGTTGCTATTCTGTGCGAATACGACGCGCTGCCGAAAATAGGACACGCCTGCGGACATAATTTGATAGCCGAAGCCGGTTTCGCTGCCGCCGTTGCAGTCAAAGCGGTATTAGAAGCAGATTCTTCGATAGGAGGAAAGGTAATTTGTATATTTATGTACTGAGGATTTTCTGAATATCATGTATGATTGTACGTATGTTACAGGTTGTAGTGTTTGGAACACCTGCGGAAGAAGGCGGAGGTGGTAAAATCCATTTCATCAAAGCCGGAGCATTCGATGATGTGAATGTGGCAATGATGGTGCATCCGGCGAGAGCTAGTATAGTTTTTCAACCTTTTATCGCTTGTGCTCATGTAAGTATACATGATTTTCATGTTTTTGCGTATTATTTCGAGTCAGTCATTTGAGTGTATTTATAGATGACTGCAGTGTTCGAAGGAAAATCGAGCCACGCTTCCGCATGTCCATGGTTAGGGAAGAATGCCTTGGATGCTGCGGTTAACACTTACGCAAGTATAGGGCTTCTGAGGCAACAGATTAATCCTGAGTATAGAGTTGGAGGTTAGTTACTTACATTAGAAATTATACTTGATAATAATCCAATGTCAGGGATTCTCAGAAAACATTTTATCATAACCATGCACATGGTTGTGGTGAGAAATCCCGTGAATTGAGAAATCACTTATAATGACCTCATTTGAGAATCCCTGTTCTAGATTAATAGATCAACTTATTTGACTAGTAATCGTGTGTTTCTTGTTTAGCACTCGTAAATAATAGCCTGTTATGAGCGATAAACTGTAATTTCTGTAACGTTGTTTGAAACACGAGAGCTCTGAGGACTTTTAATGCCCCGAGAGGACTTTTAAATTAATGCTCTGAGTGCACCAGATTTAAATATAAGCTCAACAAGCTGCAGCTTAGGACCTCTCATTTATGGGGTCATAGTTTAAGATAGTGTTTTTGAACCTTTTCTAAAAAAGACAACTGAACTTGGTGTTATGTTTTTTACCTTTGGAACCCCTATTTTATATAGGGTTATTATGTTTTTCGTACTTTTAGCAGTGCTCGTACACTTAAGAAGTGTCATGGCTGAACTCGGCACTGTATTTTGCATCATCCCTGAAGTTTTGCATCGTTGTAGCATCCCTAGTGTACCGCAGCACCCCGTTTGGAAATTACAGTATTAAGGCTTAATATTCTTATACTTATCATTAGAGTTTGAATTTAGTCGTATACGTGGCAATCTTCCGAAGGGAATCTCTCAATGCTGGACATTCTAAGAAAAAGTAGCCTGTATTCAGGTGTTACAAACTTCGCCTGTCCAGTTCATCGACAAGGCAAAAACCCTTAATTAATCAAGTAGTGTTCAATGGGTGTTCAGTGGTTTATCCACCGATCACTATCATTAGTTGGAGGGAAATGGCCCCACATTCTTACATGTATCTTTACTTGGTGAAGGAAACTATCTGTGGTGGGTCGCAACAAGTATAAAGGTTCAGATTGTATTTATTAATTAATGATGATCATTTTACAGTTATTATTAGTAAAGGAGGTGAAGCACCCAACGTCATTCCAAGCCTGACAGAAATGAAATTTGGCATTAGAACCCCCGTCATGTCGGAAATGGGATCATTTTACAGTTATTATTAGTAAAGGAGGTGAAGCACCCAACGTTATTCCAAGCCTGACAGAAATGAAATTTGGCATTAGAACCCCCGTCATGTCGGAAATGGACGAATTAATTGGAAGAATCAAATCTTGTTGTCAATCCGGAGCCGCAGCCGCTGGCTGCAACGTCACAATAAACGTGGACGAGGACATTTATGATAGCTTATTCTCTAACGTACCATTAGGAAAGCAATTTAAAAAACACATCGATAAAATTGGTGAGTAATATTAAATATCAACACCAGAAATACTTTTAAGTAAATCGTAAATCTTTCTACTGTTTTATACAGGATTAGAGTTCTTCGAGCATTTAGACATACCGAACAGAGGCAGTACCGATATGGGTAACGTCTCGCAAGTTGTACCAAGTATCCACCCCATGTTTAACATAGGAGAAGCATCAAATCACAGCATAGAATTTACGAATCTGGCAGGAACCAAAGAAGCGCATCTCACTACTTTACAAGTAGCCAAAGCCATGGCGTTTACATGTATCGATATCTTTAAAGACAAAGAACTTTTGAATGAAATTAAGAAATATTTTTCTGAGAATAAATAAATTAATAATAAGTTTGAACAACATTATGATGTAATTTAAATAAATAATTCTATCTACACGTTGACAAATATTATTTTGTGACCTAATTTTAACAGAGTACAGCGTGAAATTTAATATACCACGGTACTTTATACGATAACGGAAACACCCCCACTCGACTTCCGGATCTTGCACAATTGATGGGATTCTTGCGTTATCTAAACTCTGGTGTGGCAAGCAGAAGGGGATAAATCTAGTTTGACGTTCAACGTTCGAGGCAGATAAACCAAAATGGATGCCATTACGTTAACAATTAACGAAACGTTCGACAGATACGGAGATTTATTTTACAAAATATCCAGAGAAATATGGAATAATCCGGAGGTGTGCTTCGAAGAGGTTCGAGCGCACGAGTTGCTGACCGACAACCTGGAAAATTTAGGATTTACAACGGAGAGGAATCACGTGCTTCCCACCGGTTTCAAGGCCGAATTCGTTAATAATCCAAAAGGTTAAGTAAGATTTTAACGTATTTATTTTATAAACCGGTGGTTTTTTCGATCGTTTTTTTTAAAGGTCTCGGGCAGAACCGGTTCTGGTACGTGTGCGGGTGCTTGTGAGGCCGATAGTACACTTTAAAAATTAAATCAAATATAGTAATGGGCATGAAACAGATTGATGGTTGTACGACCTGTTTATAGATATAAATAACGTGTTAAGTGTTTTGCATTAGAAAACGTGGAAGATTCATCAGTTGAAGTAGAAAAAAATTCAACAGTGGGAATTACATAACAGTCAATGGTGTCGGGAATTCTGGCAACCGTGTAGAACATAGTTGTATCGTAAAAACCGGGTCGAAAAATACCGATTTGGACGTTCGAAATTAATAGATTGATAATTTTAGGCCCGGTCGTTGCTATTCTGTGCGAATACGACGCGCTGCCGAAAATAGGACACGCCTGCGGACATAATTTGATAGCCGAGGCCGGTTTCGCTGCCGCCGTTGCAGTCAAAGCGGTATTAGAAGCAGATTCTTCGATAGGAGGAAAGGTAATTTGCATATTTATTTATTAAAGATTTTCTGAATATTGTGTATAATTGTATACTATTTTACAGGTTGTGGTATTTGGAACTCCCGCGGAAGAAGCTGGAGGTGGTAAAATTCATTTTGTCAAAGCTGGGGCATTCGATGATGTGGATGTTGCAATGATGGCGCATCCAGCGAAAGACAGTATAGTCTTTCAACCTTCCATTGCTTGTGCTGATGTAAATGTACATTTTTAAAAAAATATATTTACGTTATTTCGTGTTGAAAACTTCAGTGTTTTTATAGATGACTGCAGTGTTCGAAGGAAAATCGAGCCACGCTTCTGTAAGTCCGTGGTTAGCGAAGAATGCCTTGGATGCCGCGGTTAACACGTACACAAGTATAGGGCTTCTGAGGCAACAGATCAATCCCGAGTGCAGAGTTGAAGGTTAGTTACTTACACTAGAAATCATACTTGACAATAAATCAATTATATGAGGGTGTAATATAAGCAAAGGTTATCATCACAAAAATCCAAGTAAAGAATGGTTATAACGTGAGCAGAAGAACATACATCTTTTCAGTGGGCAAAAGTGTACACCTTTCTGTTCTCTGCCTGTAGACTGCAGGAGCTAAAGCACAAAGTCATTCTTTGTGCTTTGTTAACTCATGCATTCAAAAAATTCACACGGAGCCTAAATAGAGAGTTAGCTGGTCCTTTTCAGGAAAGAATTGTTGATCCCTTAAGGTTCTCAGAAAATGTACTGTACTTAGCTGTGGAAAACAGAATCACGTTTCCGTGGCCACACCTGCACGGAAACGTGATGAGGATCTCTTGCAATGGTATCCTTATGTAAGGTAAAATTCAGTTGATAACGACAGTCGAGGTGCAGCTTAGGGACATGTATTTTCAGTCTATGAAGTCATTCCATATCAAGTGATCAAGTTCTCCGGCTCATCCCCTCAGATTTCAATAAAATTAGACACAAAAGTAACTAAGGACATTAAATTAAATCATGTAAAATATTAACCTCATACGTTGCACGGTTCCTGAGATATAAGCCAAAATGTGAAGATACCTCGCACCACCTTTGCGTGTGCAGTGATTAAACAGCCAATTTTGTTGTCCAATGGTTCCTTGACTAAGAGCAATTAAAGAATGAAATTTGGTAGCAGAAGACAGTTTCAAGTGGACAATTCAGAATATACTTACAAAAACTTCTAATGAAAAGTATTCCATTCACAAATCTTTATCAAAACTTGGGTGAAATTCATTCTCGTGAAACCAAAGCCATATTTCAATTGCCTGTAATTTGTAGAAGAAAACATTCTTTTACAGTCAAACTTTGGGCTTTAACACTGTATACCCTTAGTCACCTTTTGTGCCAAATTTTGTTGAAATCTGAGGGGTTGAGCCAAAGACCTTGAACGCTTGACATGGAATGCCTTTATAGTTTAACGCAGTGATTTTTGAAAGTTTCCCTAATAGTAACAATCCGACTTGGTAACTGATTTCTTTTGGCACATTTTGGTTATTGTGCCTTTATTTTGGTTATTGTGCCTTTCGTACTTTCAATAACATGCTTAAGAAGTGTTATGGCACTGCTCAACATTATATTTCGCAGCACCCTGGTTGAAAACTACTAGCTTCAGACCTCACAATTACACGTATCATTGTTTAGTGGAGGAAAATCTGTAGTATCGGGTACCATTACTGGTACTTGTTAATAAAGTTTTAGATTATATTTAATAATAATCAATTTACAGTTGTTATTAGTAAAGGAGGTGAAGTACCCAATGTTATACCAAGCCTGACAGAAATGAAATTTGGAATTAGAGCCCCCGTCATGTCGGAAATGGACGAATTAATTGGAAGAATTAAGACTTGTTGTCAAGCCGGAGCTGCTGCAGCAGGCTGTAGTGTCACAATAAAGATGGATGACGTAATTTACGACAGCACATTCTTTAACATACCTTTTGGAAAGCAATTTAAAAAACACGTCAATAAACTTGGTGAGTAATATTAAATATCAACACCAGAAATGCCTTTAACTAAATTTTTGAACTATTATACAGGATTACAGTTCTTCGAGCATTTAGACATACCAAACAAAGGTAGTACCGATATGGGTAACGTCTCACAAGTTGTACCAAGTATCCACCCCATGTTTAGCATAGGAGAAGCTTCTGAACATACTATAGAATTTACGAATCTGGCAGGAACCAAAGAAGCTCATCTCACTACTTTACAAGTAGCCAAAGCCATGGCGTTTACTTGTATCGATATCTTTAAAGACAAAGAACTTTTGAATGAAATTAAGAAATATTTTTCTGAGAATAAATAAGTGAAAGGATGAAGAGGAGTTAGTGAAGAATGCCTTGATAAACAGGATAGCTTTATGAAAAATGCTTTGATAAACAGCACAGTTTGTGAAGAAAGTGCTTTTGATAATTACACCCACACATCACATAGAACAGCAAGTGTTCTATTTTCAAATTGCTGCTCCTGACATTTTGTACATGGCACTTAAAAGCACTCAAATGTTTCTTCAGAAGCTAACCCATTCCACTAAGGCATAACTTTCTTATTCTGGGAGTGTCGTTAATACACTAACAAATTAACAAAGCATGAATTAGATAATTGTATAAATTACTTTATTATTGTTATATCACATTAAAATTGTTCAAGTACAAAATTATTTTTTTATTTTTTTCATATATGTAAAAAATATATATATTATATATTCATTACAAAATTTTGGATATATTAGTATATTAAAATAGTTTGGTTTCTGTGTAAGAGTTATAAATTTTTTTAGGAAAGACAATTATATAGTTGAAGTAATTAAAATAAAAAAAATAATATATGTGTTTTTCATCTAGTCGCCGCAACTACTAATAATTTATTAGATAATCTAATAAGCATTACTTTGTACTCTACAATAAACCGTATGTACATGTTTCCTACCATGTTTTTCTACTGTAAACGTGTGGATCCTTAATTATATTTTCTCTTTGTACTGAAGAACTTTGTGTGCTAAGTTTAAAAATCACAGATTATAAGTCAAGCTCGTTTCCTGTATTCCCCCTTCGATCGAATCTCATAAATACATTTGTTCGCGGAGGTTGATGCGGTTCTGTACAGAGTCGGATCACAAGATTTCTTGTTGGTCCCGGCTGCATCACATATTTGTCATTTTGATGTACCCATTTTAATGTTTAAATTAGGAATGTAGCCCGCTTGCTACATTTTTTTTAATCTTTCCCGAAGTTTAAAATTGTAGTAATTCTCATAAAAAACTCTGTTCACTGGAGTACGATCTACTGTCCCTGGAGTATGGTCTGTGGTCCCTAGAGTAGGATGGATAGTTCGTGTTTATTTTACCATACTGCTGTCGGTTCTTTAACTGTAGTCTTAACGGGATTTCGTAGCCGTCGCTACTGTCTCCTTGATCAGGTAAAAGCTCTAAATATTTGACGGTTTCCACGGGTAGGGACATGTTAACTTGTGGACACGATGTATGCCATATGCCACATTCTAGACCTGTTCTGGTCAAACTGTCAGAACTGTCATTAACCGAAAATGTCCTCCTTCGATTCCGTCTCCTGTTTATTCTCTTGGCCTAATTTATGTAAATGTAAGTTATACATGTTTCTGTGAGAATTTCCATAGATAAATGAAACTTACATTTCGGTGACGATAACTGTTATCCAAACTAGGCGTGTTTATACTGGATAATTCCGTGTCAATGTAATTTTCACCGATCAAAATGCTAGTAGAATCATCGTCTGAAAATTGAAAAAAAAATCTGATCAGTTGAGTAAAATATAAGCTATTAGAGTCCAGAAATTAGTCACCTGTCGTGACTGAACTACAGTATATGTGATTGTGCACACTGGCAAATGGTATCAGTCTATTAGCCGTTGTCTGTCTAAGTTCTTGAAGCCTCTGTAGACAATAAGTAAACGAGGGACGATCAAGAGGACTATAATTCCAACACATGAGCATCAATTGGTAGCTGAAAGAATGTTTTTGTGTTAGTTTACTTTTAATTTTTTAAAAGTTTTAAAAATTTAAAGATGCATACAAGTTTTCTGGACAGTTATCGGGCTTATCCAAGTGTCCTCCCTCTCTAACATACTGTAAAACTTCTAAGTTGCTCCTAGCTGGATACGGTTGTTGGCCTAACGTCATTACTTCCCACAGAAGAACTCCGAATGCCCTATACATATACCATTAATGACATTATTTTGATGTGGTTTACAAATATTATAAGAGAACGTAGGAAATGGATATTATACATACCAGATATCGGACTGTGTAGTGAATACGCCGTCCATTAGTGATTCGGGTGAGAGCCACCGAACAGGAAGAAGTCCTTCTCCCTCTTTACGATAATAATCATTTTTGTAAATATCCCTCGCGAGACCAAAATCGCCGATTTTTACTATTCGGTTTGACGAATCGTTGCCAGAAACTAAGCAGTTACGAGCTGCTAAATCTCTGAAAAATGCAATTTGATTTTAAAATTTTCAGGTTTAAACAGTACTTATTAAATTAAAGTGAACTAACCTATGTACAAAATGCATTTCTTCTAAATATTTGCATCCGCTAGCAACATGAACACATATACTCATCAAATCATCTAAGGTTAATGGACTGGCACATCTCTGGAATATTATTTAATTAATAAATATAATTCTATGTGTGCTATTATGAGAGAATACTGCCTAAGACTCACCACGGTGGGTCTGTTTGCCCTCAGATAAGACAACAAGTCGCCACCCTCCATCAGTTCCAAAATTATAAAGTTGATATTGTTATCCAAGCAAACACCAAGCAGTCTTAATATATGATCATGATGAAAATTGCTAAAAAAAAAAAATGGATTTTATCAAATTCCGTAAAAAGAAATTCAAATAAATATTTGTGTATACCTCATTAACTTTGCTTCTTTCAAAAATCCTGCTTTTTCTTGATCGGTGGCACCTTTACGTAGTGTCTACGAAGAATTCTTATTAAGCAACTGTTCCACAAAGTAGTCCGTAAGCAAATACAAACTTCACTAACCTTCACGGCTACTCTAACGGGCGGCGTACCTTCTCCCATTAACTCGTGAGCGATTCCTTCAAACACTTCCCCGAATGCCCCGCTTCCCAAGAATTTAGTCAACATGATTTGCTCTCTTCGGATCTGTTGCGAGCCTGTCAATTCTTCGTCGGGTGGTGCATCTCTGTAATTAAAGTTAATTGTTAAAATAAATTTTGTAAAGGATTTCTTTTCTAAAGTTTTCTACTCACCCTAAACCATACAACTGATTGTTTTCATGAACAAAGTTCCCATTTTGTGGTAATTCTTGAAGAGTAGCGAGCTCGACGTGAGGAGAATGGTTCTGAATAGACATTTGCAGCATGGTTTTCTTCTTATTGCTTTGAGATTTGGCTAAATATGTGTTTTTAATTTAGTAATTGCTATTGTAAAAGCCATATTGTATACATTTACTATAAAGAATTACTATAATATACATACCAATACATAAACCAAGAATGAGAAATATCACTATTAATATTACAGCAGCTAACAAAGAAGCAAAAATGATCACCATTTGTTCATCTTCTGGATGTATAAAGCCTACAAAATGAACTGTTTCAAGAAAATGTCACTTTAAAGAGGATTTTTATTATATTATATTTAATACCTCCGGGCGCAGGAAGAAAAAACTTTGAGCTGACTGCACTATAATCACTTGAACCATATTCATTAGTAGCACCGACGCGAAACAAGTAAGTAACTTTGACTGGTAACTCCTCAATTATCCAGTTTGTACTTGATGTATTGGTTGCGGTTTTCCAATTTAAAACACTGTCGTCGTCACCTATGGGACTAGAATTGAAACAACACTTTAAATTACAAGTAATGAGTCATTTTACACATAAATCAATAAAAAAAAAAAAATCATTACCTAAACTGTAATTCGTAAGTCAAAAATTCGTCGTTAAATCTCCTTACTCCTTCCCAGATTACTTGGTAATCTCCCGCTCTGATCTTCCTAACAAATGGCGCACCTGGTATGCCCGGTTTATCTCCCACAGTTTTAAAAATGAAGCCTTTTTCATTTTGAGGATGGATGTAAGTGACATAATGAGGATAATAAGTCAGAATAAGCCTCGCTCTGTATTGGGTTCTCGATAATAAGTTATCAACGGTAAAGTTGTAGAGAATCCCGGAGTTTGTTTGATATGTTTTATAAAAGAACATTTCTTTAGATGCAATCTGGATGCAGAAAGAAATGAATAAATTATCACAAGATTACATAAGATTTACGAATTGTGTGTAATGTATTGTGCAGTACCCTTGTAACTTCCAGTGCATGAGTGTGAATTATATCCACTGGTGATCTCCACTGCAGAAGGAATGATTCTGAAGTGACTTTTATTAGAACTAAATCAGAAGGTAGTTGATAAGTCGTGGCAGTGGCTTCATAACTGTCGCTAAACATGTCTCCGCTATTGGTATACGTTCTGACCTAGAAAATACTGAATTTTTTATCTTTGTACTACTGTACGTGAGCCAATACATTGAGAGGATCACTTACGACAATGTAATATCTTGTACCGTGATGAAGATATTTTAGGGAGACATTATATTGTTTGTTAAAAAGCGATGATCTGCTAATGGAAATGGCAGATTCCGAACTCTTGTTCTTAACGTCTGATCTCCATCTTAGTTCATATCTCAGTGGACCGCTCTTTACCATTCTAGGAGGTTCCCAAAAGACATCTATTTGATTAGGTGCAACTGTGATGGCTCTGACATTACGAACTGGGATTGGACCTAATGTTATATCCGATATTAAAAGATATTTATGCAAATGTGAGAAAGTATTGATTTACATACCTCCTTCTTTAGTCTGGAAAACTGTAACCGGACCTACAATTTCAGTTTGTTGACTATAGAAGTTACTTATGGCCACCCGAACAGTATAATTTGTAAATGGCTGAAGTTTATTAATTGTTATCGTTGTATTATAAGTTTTCTGGAAAGAACAAATTAAAATTTTTGTAAGATTAACCTTTTACAAAGAGTTTTCGAGCTCTTGCAATTTAATTCCTCACCGAATGTAAACATAAAAATGTATAATTCCGCATGCAGCTCTCTCTATCAGAATAATATTCTCCATAATAAATGGTATACAGAATGGATGAAGGTGACATGTTTTGGCAAGACGAAGGCAACGTCGCAGGTTCCAAATCCAGAATAAAACTGGAAGCGGTGGAAGAACGCAATGAGGCGATTCCATTATACTCTTCCGGAAATAAACATTCGGCATCTACAAAACAGAAGCTATTGCATAAAAATTTACAATTGAACAGTGTTTCCTTCAGTTTTCACATACCTGGTAGAGGCTGAAGAGAATCGGCAACTGCCCTAATACCTCTTACTCTTCCGACAACTTCAAATGTGATATCATAGTACTGCGAATGCTGGGCAGCCGGATCACTAGACACTCTTATGTTTTTGGGTACACTGTAAACTCTACCTTTAGCAGAATTTGACCAGTATAACTTATTTTTATCGACGGCGATTGAAGTAGGTGGCAATCCTACACCAAAAATCATATTATACTCGTTGTCAAACGTGAAAAACTTTACTGTAAATAAGATTTACCTATATCTTTATTTGGCAATGCCGTCAGTAGAGGATAACAAGTGCAGCCTCGAAGATCTGAAGACCATATGTGACCCTGTTCACCGTTTACCCATATGACTTTAGGATCTTTTTCTGTATAGTCGATAGCTATTGCCGATCCTACTCTAGGAGCGACAGGGCAGTTACACTTCTCCCTCTTCGATCTGTGAGTTCTATTGTAGTATAAATAATCGTTTTGTGAAAAGAAGGGACGAATGTTTCGTCCGTTCGTATCCGAAATCATCATCTGACCGATACCGTTTCTATTAATGAGTGTCCAGAATAAATGCCTGAAAATATGTTTGGAAATTTAAATATAGGAACAATGAAATTCTTTACTATTTTATCATAATTACTAACCCAGTAAAGGGTTCGACTTCGACGGCTGCTATAAATGACAATTTATTGATAAGCGATATGGGTTCGCCATTATAATTCAAATCCAAAACCCATATACTGCCGACATTATCTTCCACTTGAGTCCAAAACAATTTTCTAGTAATCCAGTCTGCGGTCAAACTCGTGCTCTTTTGCGGAAGATTCCGGATCTGAAAATTGAGACATTAATCGATCCCTTTTGAGCATTTAAAACAAAGATATAGAAACTTACCAAAATTGTATTAGTGCCGTTGATGTTAGATGTCATCAAAGAACCATTTTCTTCAATCCAGAACACTTTATCCTCGTTATTCAGGCATGCAACATCAATAGGTGGCGAAACTTTGTTAGACAGCAACTGTTCTTCCTGAGTGTCGATGTCTGTGACCTTAACTGCATCATTTTTAGCCAAAAGTAGTTTCGGCACCGGTAATTCTACCGAAGTATCCGCCTTGGCTATGTCACTGGGTGGACTGATTCCAGCTTGAGTATAACAAGACACCTAAAAAAAAAATAATTGCCACGTCACTGAAAAACGTTAAAATTCAGGGATTTATTCATATTCTAAATGGTTACGCACTTGAAAATAATAAGTAGTGCGGGGCAGGAGATCGGGTAATTGAAATTTCAAAACGGTTCCATTCAGCTTAAAGTCACTTGACACTGAAACGTTGTGATCGCCATGAGCAAACCAGCAATTGATAAAATACCCAAGAATAATACCGTTTGGATGAACCGGGGGCTTCCATCTAAATTCCGCATCGATTTGATTTTTGTGTGGTTCAGGTCTCTTGTATGAGATAAAAACTCTTGGATTTACTGGTTGCGATGGAACTAAAGGGTAAAATAATTAAACGTAAATGTTTTTCTTTAATTAAAAAGAATTATTCGATACATACCCGACATTGGCGAATGTAAAACAAAAGAAGTTTTTTGAGATGATGCCCAAAATGTAAAGGCTCTCATTTCAATTTTTATTGGCGTGTATGGAGGTAATCTAGTATCGGTTGGAAATCGATAAAACGTTTGTTCGGTACTCTAAAAAGAAGAACATATTCTTCAATTAATTATTTACAAATAATGAGTACAAAGTAAAGGCCAGTTTATAACCCAAAGGCAATCAGGAGCTTCACTGCAATTGACAAGATATTATCTTGTTTCTAGCAGCAACTAACTTGGTGCCGTGTGGCATAGGCATCAAATGTGATGCTAGGAGTTGCATCATTGGAAGCAATTGCTAGACATCAAACTATAGACACGCGTTGAAGCATGTGTCTATAGTTTGATGTCTAGTGGAGTGAAGACAGACTATGTAGTGAACTCCCTAGTTGCGGTGCCACGCTGCCTTCAGACCTTAAACTGACCCTCACCCTCTGTTACTTACAAATGTAAATGATTTCCGTTCGGTTTCTATTTTCATTTCGTAATAAACTGTTCCGTAGTTAACGCCGCTTTCCAAATTCCAAGTGATATTAAATCTGTCCCACAAACCATTAACTTGTACCTGATTTTCTTGAATTGCATACGGAATTACGTTGATTTTACTCCTGTCCTTTCCTAAAAAAGGGCATACTTAAAATCTCTTGCTTAATTAATAAGATAAAACTGTTAAATTAAGATAATACCTGGTATGTAATGAAGAGAAGGGTCAACGACGGTAAGAGTTTGAAGTTTATAAGACTCTAGTCCCTTTAGATAAGCCATATTTTGCCCTGTTAAATTACTAATGATGGCCTTTTGTCCATCCTTTAACCAAAATAACCTCTCACTATAAAGTCCGAAAGGACCAGAACTGTAAGAAATTCATATTAATACATGTAATCCTAAACATGTAACTGTTAGAAGCATTTATTAAAAATGGAAAGAAATGTTTACCTACACATCATGTGCTTCCAGGGAAGCAATTGTTTCTACATATCTCTGTATGTTTGCCTTAATTCTACTTGCAAGCGGAGCTTTGTACAGAGTAGTTCCTTCATAGCTTCTTAGGGTCCAGTAGATGGATTGGCCGTCGTAGTCTATAGCTAATCCTATAACTAAATTTTACATAGTTATTTTAACCATTATTTAATTCAGAAAAAATTACAGTTTGTTTCAGTCAATTAGCTGCCAGTTTCACTTATTGATATCGGGAAACAAGAAAAACATGTAAAAACTGCTGAATCCAGTGATAGAAGTGCCAATTTTCTCTTAACTGCTTGAATAATATGTTGAATATATGCACAATACATGTTCAAAACTGTGTGCGATTCAATTGGGAAGTTATCATAAATGTAACGATGAATTTCTTTATCAGCAGGTACAAGCAAGGTGTACCTGCTGATAAAACAAGGTGCCAATATATCATTGATTGATCTTCCCACGAGGCGGCTAAGTGACAGAAACACTGCACAAATAATTTTAGTTCTTACCATATTTTCCAGAAAATAAACTTGTTTGAAAGTATACTTCATGTTGCACACCATTCAGTCTCGAAAATTCTATGCTATGAGCCGTTGCCCAATATATATAAGCTGATAATGAATCTACAGTGAGCTCTCTTGCAATTGTAATTATGTGGAAGTGTTCGGGGTCACTTCCATCTAAATTTGCTCTCGATATCTGTTTTAAAAAACTCGAGTTTAATGGGAGAAAAACAGATTTGCACATCATCCATTAATAAATTCTTACCATTTGTCTTAAGGGACTAGACCAATAAAGTTTCGGTGCAAGCCAATCTATGGCGATGCTAGTAACATTAGAAAAGCTTGGTAGTGTAGTTAACAATTTGCTTTTCATGTTATATGTATGAATATTACTGTTGTTGGTGACGAGAAATACCATCTGATTATACCAACTGACATCTATAAAAGTTGATTTGATTAACACGCCGATCAATATTATTTGATATTGTATAAATTAAAGTCTAACCTGTGATATGAACTTGATCGAACGACGAAGCAAGAATTAGAGGACTAATGTTATCGCCTAGTAAGTTTGAGGTAGCTAACTTTCCACCGGTACTCCAGATGATGTATGGATATCCAAGAGTTCCTAAAAATATTAAATACATTTTAACTTGATTACTCCCTGAAATGGTGGTATAATCATATCTTTAATATTAGCTAACAAACGCGAGACTGCTAGCAACAAATGATAAAATGTCCGAAGTACTTTCATCCCCAACTAATGTCACGCAATCATGGTTATATTATTTTCTTGTCATCTTTGTAATGGGAGAGAGATGGAGATAAGGTTATTGTATAATTGTGTTGAAGTATTTCTGAAGACTTAGGACAAACTAAACTCCAAATATCTGGCCAATAGCAGAAATTTTCACTTTTATAAAAAGACAATTTCCCCTAGAATCGGAGAGAATCCAGAAGTATTATCTCTCAGACCAACTAATTCTGATTCAATCCTCATCTATTGATCTCTAAGAAGAGATTTGAAAGAAGAAAGGTAGAAGAGTTCTGTCTTCTATCTTTCTTCTTTCAAATATCTTCTTAGATATCAACAGAGCAGCACTATTAAAGATGCACTGTGGTTCAAATAACGTACAAACTCAAAAAGGTTTCTGGACAAGTATTGACTAGCCTTTCTTGTTTATTTCAGATGACAAGGAACTGTTTAATCTAAACATGATATCTGCTTAGGAAAAGATGCAGCATGTAGCATAATTTATTGAAACCAGATTAGACACAAGTGCAAAGGAACTTGAGAACATAATTCAGGAAGTCACCGCCTTCTCCACCAGCCATACGCAAGTAGTAAAACAACTGCATGCAGACAGCAGTGTGAATGAGAGCATCATGTCAGGCTAGAAAAGACTGAACATGAATGCATTCAGGCATCATCCAACATTTACTGTGGAAGTCTAATTGGAGAGCCCTTGTACGACAAAGACATCCAAAAATGTCTTTGTTCTACCGATTGGATGTTGTACGTACCACCAGAGGTGCACATATTCTCCGGAAGTGGACTGAGCACAAAAAACTTTTTGAGCCGTTGTATCATTTAAACCATTGTATTCAATATTCCTATATATTTACTTACCAGGCTTTAAAGTCTTCCCAGAAAATTCTTTCGACCAAGGTCCTTTTCCGCCCGGACTGAAGGCTCTCACTTTTACCGAGTATAAAGTGTTAGGATACAAATTATAAAATATGTAACTGGTACTGCTCACGTTGGTTTCGATTTTCTTTACTCCGTTAATGTGATTCAGCAACTGCACTTCGTAAAGCCATTGCTGCCAAGCGCCTTTGCCTGTCGAGTAAAATGTTTCAAAGTTAAACTTTAAAACGTATCATTTTTCTCATACTAATAAACAAAAATATATTTCTGTACCAAGAATGTTTAACAATTTTGGTTTCTTCCAAGAAATTTTTCCGATTTCCTCATCAAAGATGACTTGTACGTCTTCCACGGGATCTAAGGGAACTAAATAGGATATTTTTAACTTAGCACCTGCTTTCTATAATTCAATATTTAAGAGAAAAAAAATTAGCAAACCTGGATACGGTTGAATGTTGGGATGAAATATGTTCAAATTGGAAAAAGGTCCCGTATTCATGAGAAAATACACATTATTTCCGTAATATTTATTATTCTGAGCATTATATTCTTCTCCGAAAACTTTCTCTCCGGATTCCCAGAACAGGAGATTGTTATACAGAACGAGACTTTTGATGTTAGAGAACATCGGATTTTGAGAATTTTTCCTGATGTCGATCTCATCTGTACCGTCCAGAGACAGGGAGAAAACAGTATTGATGTTGGATTTAGAAATAATTATCCTAAAATTTATGTAATCGATGGTGAAAACAATAGGCTGTTTGCTTTCCAAAATCTTTTGAGTGTTTTGAAGCCACACAGGTCCGTTTTCTAACAAAACGAGGTCGACTTTGTGAAGCACGGCAATGTCACCATTCGTATTGATCCAATAGAGAAACCTAGAAAAATTATTATTATTATTATATTAATTTTGAGTTATTATTTGTTATAAGTACAGTAGAGTCTCTATAGTTTGTCATTTGCCAGTCCAACACATCCATAATCTGTCACTCCACTGTAGAATAGCAAACGAGAAATTTTCATGTTACCACTTGATATATTTGACAGAGAGAGAGTGATGTAGAGTATGTATATACTGCCAGTTGCTAGTTGTTCGTTGCATATAGGGAGGGGTCGCAATCATGATTAATACAATAAATTAACCTGTGATCCGAGTGCAATTTTTACTGTACATACAAAAATCCAGTGATCTGACACCCCTGATCATACTAAAGAGGCTCTACTTTAGTATATGAAGCAAGCATGTTAAAATGCATTTACTATAAGTGAAGGAAAGTGCACTCACTGTCAGAGAAAAGTCATGCTTATATTATGATGCAAACATGTCTTTCCTCCATTCATAGTGAATGCATGTTAACATGTACACACCTATGTCCTTTTGGGCGGGTTTATGTTTATTACGAAGACCCAAACAAATCTTTATAACAATGCATGAAAATCAGAAAACTTTATATTTTGTTTTAAATTTTGTTTCTTTTACAAACTCCTAAAGTATTAATAACTTTCCATTACAAGTAATTAACACTAACGTGTCATTTCTGCTTAATAGCACACCATATATATGACGGCAGTCCCATAAGATTATAATAGAGATTTTCTATGCTTATATACATAAATACTTATAATTGTGTTGGATATAGACTATATGAGAGTACATAATCTTATATATATTTTAACAGAAATTAATAAATATATAACAATAAAACTAACCTGGTTCTTTTCTACCATATATAATTTATTATTTAGCCAATCCATGGAGAGAACTTCCGGCAAAGTTGGCCTCCTGGTAATGATCGTCTTCACGTTTTTAAAATCGTTCATGGATATCGAATATACGGACCCGGATGAATCGGAAATAAAAACTAAATTCTGCTTTACGTGTATGGCGACTCCTGTAAGATACGTTAAACTTACTTGTCTAAAATTGACGAAAGTATGGATAAAAAAAATGAAAATTACCTTTGATGATGACAAAGGGGTTGTTAGTGTCGTAAACGATATCGGACAGTTCCGAGAATCTAACTTTTTGTTTCAGTAACTTTCCTTTGTTTGCCAAGATGAAGAATGGCTGGAGAATATCTGAAAAGGATGTTTTTAATGTTACGAAAAGTGGAAATGATCGAATTCTTTAGAATTAATTCAAATTATAATTCGGCTTTTATCCAGAAGCTATCAGTGCTGATCAGTTACGACTCAGTTTAATGAATTAACTCTACATCTAAAAATAATTCGGTGCTAGACCTAGACTTGTTGTGACCCTAACACTATAACACAATACAGGTGCAACCCCTCCAACAAATAGCAATATGTGTAAAAGTGTGAAACCCTAAGCTATACTCTAGACAAAAGCCAAATTGTGAGTCAGATTTAGCACTTAATATACAAAAAACGTACCTCTACTTTCCCTTTTAGGAGGCGGCGTTTCGATAAATCTGACGTCGGCCGGTCCTTCACCGAATTTATTCCTGGTGGTGATTGATACATTGTACAAGGTCTGAGGTTTCAAATTATTGAACATGTAGTACAACTCTCTCAAATTACCATTCACATCCTTAACCGAATGAACAAATTTGAGACACTTCCCGAAATTCAAACCGTGGGTTATTTAGAGTGGATTAATACCTTGATGGAACTGTATCCTTTGGGATGTTCGTTAAGGTAGAGCACGTAAGACAAAACGGGGCCATTAGGGAATAAGGGAGGATTCCAACTAATTGATATGTGCGTGGGACTCACGGCAGTTAATCGAGTAATAATGGGTCTGCTAGCCGGTGCTGAAAAAGCCAATTTTAATTAAATACCAAATTTGCATCTATGTATAAATGTTTATATTCGTATCTTAAACATTTACCTCCGTAAGGTAAAGTCGAAATAGCGACACTCTCCTTTGATAAAATCGGTGTGTATTCGGGTAGGAGTATCCAAGCTATGCGAAACTGAAAGTATGCAAAATATTAGGGTGAGTCAAATGAAAATTAGCCAATGTATTTTAATTGAAAACTGTTATCTGTAAGTTAAAAGTAACAACTGCAAGCATCAAGGCATTTTTCCGTTTGAGTAATGGAGCCTAGCGATTTTGTGCTCGTAGAAATCATTTGGTTTCTGCTTCGGAAATTCTACGACCATCTCCCGCACCTACTGCAACCTTTCAATTCACTGAATATATGAAAATTGAATGGTAAAAGGTCTGGACTGTAAGGTAGGCAATTTGGAATTGCCCACCTGAAGTTCTCAAACTTGTCATAAGTCAATAAGACTTATGACAAGTTTGAGAACGGCAGTGAGAGGATTGTGCCATGTGATGACAAATCTCTGTGCTTATTCTTGATCTCCATGCAGAGTCGTTGCAGAGTTTCACCCAGTTACTCTACAGTGGGACAAATGCCCCAATATTGCCAATCGTTACTTTTAGGTAACAGTTTGCGAATAAATTACCTTCACTGACTCATCCTAATAAAAAGTTCTCACTAAATAGTTTAATATAAGTATTACTTACCTTATACTTTACANTACGAAATTTTATCGATTAAACCCGAAATTTCGTTGCATGTTGTAGGATAATACCGTGTGAAAAACGCTAGTCTTACAATATTCCTGGTAGACGGTAACCATAGATCGAGAGGGGGGGGAGAAGAGAGTTAATACTGTTAGTGTATACATGTGAAGCACGCTGCAGTGTATAATCTTTCTAGGAAACCACTTCAGATTTCCACTGAACTAAATATGTTATGTTATCGTACGACGCCTTAGTCCACTGAATGGTGATGCTGTCGTTGGTCGGTAATTCGGCAGATAAAACGGGAGCCGCCGGTAGGCCGATCTGGTCTAAAAGTCACAAAATACATTTAAAATATTGTCTAAAATTCCCAATTAATTTTATCGGTCTAGATGCACATACTTTTAAGATTTTGTATGTAGGACGTTATAGCGAGATTGCACCCCAAAATACAATATAAAGACTAGAAAAAGAAATGTAATGGTGTAAAAAAAAATATAAAGAGCAATTAAATTATATAAATTTCAGTTTAAAAAGACTCACCCCGGTTTGGTATGCACGAGTTTTGCTTTGCTATGAGAACAAACAAACAACAACAAAAAAAAAAATCAGGGATTATTACATTATAAATTTAATTATATCTACATTAATTATATTTATACTTACGCAGATATCATGACACAGAGGTCCGTGCCCTTCTTTCCACCTTTCACAACCGTAATGACACTAAATTATCAAAAAACATTTAATGTAGCTCATTAAATAGCCATTTAGCTCATTAATTTAGAAGTAAATTAATCAAGAATGCATTTTTAAGGGTGGGAACGTTCTCGTCTTTTGCTTCTGCGACAGACAAGCAACATAAGAATGCAGCGGGAAAGCATTCGTGAAGATAAGTGAAATGCATTACTTGTTTAGTAATTTAAAAATTTCCTTACATAAAGACATTATGTGAAAGTATCAATATATTAATTAAGATACAAGACTAGAGAATTTTCTGTTTATAGTAAGTTAAAAATAAATAATTCTGTAGTGTTTCTGTAATTCTCTAAAGGCTTCTGCTGTAAAGACTCAATTGGAAACTGTGTTAGACCCTCAGGAATTGTGTGTGATTTGACTCAAAGCTGCCGACTCTGCGCTGTTGTATGTCTAGTCCTATGTCTCATCACCCGATTGCCCCACTGTGGGCCTTTACAAATACATAATAAAAGGATTTGGAGACCTTTCCTCATGCCCACCAATGTGTCAGAGAGGACGAAAACAATCAAACACCAGCAAGACCATCGAGGGCTTTTATGGAGTCTGGGATAGAGTAATCTCCTTTGCCCGCTTGCAGGCACTTTACCAATCTTCTTTCAACAAATAAATATATGTTAAAAAGCAGTCTTAAAGATTTTATTGTCTGTAAGTACAAGTAATATTAATTTTTTATAGGGATAGGAGTCATTAGGGCAGTATTACTTTCAAAATCATACTTGGGACAGTATTTTACTTCTATGAGAGGGCGACGAATGTAATTGGGCTGGTCAATTTATATATGAATATAGAAACAATAATCCTTTATGTGTTTTTACACAAGATTATATCAGGGTATTTTTCAATCTCTGGGGAATATACCTAGACTCCACTCTGAAAGAAACCCCAATTACAGGTCCCTGAGTCAATGGCCTCAACCACTAGTACTCTTGTTGATGTATGACCAACAGATTGCCCGCACGGAGTCTCACAGGTTTTCTTCCTACCTCTAACACCTAGATAAGACAAATTTCCCTACAGAGTCCTTCTGGAATGCACTCCACCGTGGCAGAATGCTCTCACGTTACATTGCTTTAGCCCATCGAACCGAACCAAGAGCCCTTTTTTAACTTTCCACTCTGCGGCCACTAAGAGGGCCTTTTTGCTACACCAAGAGTTCGGCCAGGCCGACAATGGGAGCAGTCGGCGGCGGGGTACGAGTCCGGAGATAACCGGAGCGGATCGTCCCCGAGAAACTCCCGGATTCCACAGCAGGGCCCTACCTCATCGAAGCCGAGAAAACGAGGGCATTAAAATTCGCATTTACCATCAGATGTCGCCACCGTTTACGAAACCGACAACCTCCCCCCAGTAACAGTAGGATCCAGATGCAATTTAATATCATTAATTCACCGGGAACTCTTAGAATATGTTTAAAAATTCTTCAAATTCTAAAAGCCCACTCGACGAAATATGGCATAATTAAGTCAAACCGTAACAAGCGCCCTATTTTCAACCCCCACGTGACGTCTAAAAATAGAACTAAATGAAATTATTCCCTAAAAAAGTAACGCGGCTAGAAGGGGGGAGGGAAAGAAGTGTCGCGCAGTTTTTGACATAATAATTCTAATGATTTCGGTGTCAAATTCGACCTCCCCGCTAATTATCGTGTTGCAATCAGCGCCACAGCGGCAGAGAGGTGAACGAACTCCCGTTACAGCAGGTGGCAACACCGAAAACACCGCTTCCTAGATAAATCGCGCCACCAAGCGTACGCGGTACAAACGTCCGAAACGTAACAGCAGCCTCGTTAGGTCTTAAAAAAATAAAATAAAATAAAAAAAACCAAGCAAAAACCTGCGGCACTTTTGAATCTGCCTTCCCTCCAACCCAAGCAATAAACACAATCCTCCTCTTGTGTTTCTCAGTATTCAAAAATTAAGGAATTTAATTAAGAATTATCGGTGCTTTAAAGAACTTCTTCCCAGACTCTCGAGTGTGCACTCGTGTTTGTGTGTGTATATATATACATATACATATATTAAAACTATATTTGAAGCATTACCGGGAAGAAACGATTAGAAAACAATGGGAGGTATTGAAAGGGTGGCACTTCATCCACCCATTTGCAATATGCAAAATATGGCAGCCGGCACGTATGCCCGTCAGTAAAAATTCATATTAAGTTACTTAGATACTTAATTATCTTCGCTCCAGTCTCATTAGGTAGAGGTAGAGAGAGAGGGGGGGGAGAAGAGAGTTAATACTGTTAGTGTATACATGTGAAGCACGCTGCAGTGTAAAGTTTTTCTAGGAAACCACTTCAGATTCCATAGCTGGGACGGCCGCGACCACTTCACCCCATCTTAAATTACACTGATCAATCAATACCTCAAGTTGCTTATCTCCAAAATGGACAAAGAACAGTTTTTTTTTCTCTCCTGTCCCCCCTACTTCTCCTTGAGCTTTGTCACTATTGGGTATCAGTGACTCGGCCGTTGTATTGGTTCAATCGCCCATTGTCGCGATTGTAACGCGACACTTCTATACGTTGCGGCCCTCCCTAATAAAGAAAACAATGGCCCGTGTGCTGGATGTTAACGATTCGGACTGTACTTTTTTAACCTAATAAGGAAGTTACCCATTACAAGGGTAATTAGCCGATCCTACATCCACGTTACATCACCACGCGCAGCGGGTGTAACTAGATTGGTTTTCAAGTAACATAGTTCTATTCAAGGACTTTTAGTTAAACACTGACAGTGATTGGTATTATCGGACGTTTTAATTTTTAGACATACAACAGGCTTTTGTACAAAAAAGGAAGAAGAAAAAAAACACGTAATCACGAGTATCTCTTCCAATTTTGTGGTGGCGCCCGCAGTAAACACGGTGTGACGTTTTTTAAAAATTCCTATGACGTAGCCGGCGTATCGGTTTCTCGATGATTTCGAATCTTTAAGGGTTTAAAAATTCGGTATTAAACACAGAAATTCTGACGTCACGAACGTTTAAAAAACTTTCACGTTTTATTGTGACGTCAAACGCGCGTGTCGAATTTTCAAAATTTCGAAAAGCGTACGACGTCACACTACTTTTTTTGTTTACGTGTGCGAACGCGTAACATTCGAATCGTCGCGTTTCTATTCCGGATACACTAAAAGTAAACATGTTTTCTATCTTCGTAACACTTCTATTTATGACGATTATCGTTTACTAATCGAGAAACACAAAAAAATCATTATGTTTACCCCCTTAAAAAAATAAAATGAAAGCACAATCTGTCGTTTATTGACACGGCATACCAGAGGAAAGAGGTTTACAATATTCCTCACATCCCATTGGTCGTTCCAAGGTCTAAAGGACACCATCCAAAAACGTACCGGATGGCTACTAAAAACGATTTTTAATCGAGTGACATTGTTTGGCCTTGGTGTTTGACCGATATTTGTCAAACATTTGTAACTTATAAGCGATTACTTTACCCTAAAATGGAGGTTAAAGAGGTTCCTTCCTTAATATCCCTGACGCCTATCCATCACGCGATGACGCAAATCGACTTAAGATGTTTACGATGGATTGAGAAATTGCAATGTTTTGAAGATGTTCCCTACGATAAACAGTATTTTTTTTTTAATTTGTTTCCTGGCTGTTTCCTTCCCTTAATTTCGGGTCTTACCTGTTGCAGCTTGCAGGTGTCGTTGCAATTCAACTGAAAGCTTCTTTCTGTAGACACCTGAAAAAAAGAAAAATTTCAGTTTTTTTTTTGTATAGTTGAGGACGTTTCTAGTGTTTAAAAAAGGCTCAATACGAGTTTTAAAACACTAAAAATTATGAAGACGGGTATTATGAAAGAGGTTTAAGAGCAGTTTTCGTATGGTTAAGCACGTTGCTAGTGTTTAAAACAGGCACCACACGAGGTGAGATACGAGCTTTAAAACACTAGAAATCCCCCCAAATGTAGGTGAGATTTAAGAGCAGTTTCGTATGGTTAAGCACGTTGCTAGTGTTTAAGAAAGGTACCATACTAAATGGGGTAAGGGTTTATTTAAAACACTAAAAATCACCCACGAAAAAAATGGATGCGGATTATAAAGGTGGGTTTAACGAAAAGATTACAATTTAAACGCGAGCTTCGGTCACGAAAATCGTAAACACCAGCGATCACGTGCCCGTTTTGACGCGCGGTAAACGCAGCAAGAGCCGAGCGCGAAGAAGATTCAAATGTCAAGTAACTAAATCAAAATATTCGACAATCTTAATTTTCTGATAGATGGTAACACTATACGATCCGAAGGTCATTCACGGACTGGTAAAGACGTCACAATTTTCGACAGGAAGCGCAAGAATGCGGCGGTAGAAAAAAAAAGAAAGAAAGAAACCCGCGCGCTATTTTTAGACTCGAGCCGCCAAAAATCCATGCAAAGCGTGCGTAACCCGTGGCTTATGGGGCGAGCTAGAGCACCAAAGTAACGTTTTTCCCTAAAATTTTCGACATGGCGCTTGCGTGTTTGACATACGATCCCCCGTGCGAATGTCTGGTTATTAAAAGAAACATATAAGGACATACAATCCATCTGCAACGTAACGAAGCTAACTTTCCAAGAACTAGTCGCGTAACCTTGATTTACGCATTCCTTATCTTCAGATCCGTGGATAAGTGACTTCGATCCGCCATTTTGACGAGAGACACTAGCCTTTTTGCAGTCCAGCCCGGCTAGTGCCAGTTACTGTGGTGACGGCTGACGCTGGCCGCAGTTGAAAACCATTCGATGTGACATATCTCCGAGGGTCGGAGTCGTCACGGGTCACGAGTTAGCAGCCGATAAAGAGATGATGAATTGGAAGCATGAGGGGAACTCGCTTATCAATGATCCCAGGATCGTGAGGTCGCGTGCTAGAAAAACGTTACACAAGGAGCTACTTTTGCGCGGGGGAGGAAGGGGGAGAGTTTGGCCTAAAATTCTGGCACGAGATGCCGCATGCAACGGTTATGCAATTATGCTCCTGGGTGTGTAAAAAACTGGGATTTTTCTGTTAAAACACGCGCGCAAACGGCTGCGATCATCGTCGATTCTGTGGAGGAATGGATGACGAATGCTGGAGTAGTTTTCGTATGCAACGGTGATTTTTGTACGCAATTTTATCGATTAAAACTCTATTTTTGTGGTGTTTTAGGAGTTCATCCACATAACACTACAGTAAATAAGAGCTTAAGACTAGTTTTGCATGGTATTTCATGCACGAAACCTAAAATTTACAACGAAATCTTCATAAAACCTACGTATTTTGTGTAGTCTCATAGAGAAATAATGGAAACTGTACGCAGATTACTGCGAAAATATACATACAACGGGTAGTCAACGCCAAGTAATTCTACGAAACAATGCATAATAAACACTATACGTACGAAATTTTATCGATTAAACCCGAACTTTCGTTGCATGTTGTAGGATAATACCGTGTGAAAAACGCTAGTCTTACAATATTCCTGGTAGACGGTAACCATAGATCCGTAAACAAACTGTCAAATTACAGTGTTACGTAGTGTTACCGTAGTGTTCGAAATGATTAGAAACGCCAACACCAAGCCACCGCATCAATTATTACTCATAAAATGTACCAGAGAAGACATATGTTATCGGATTACATAATTCTAAGTTTATGCATCGGAAAATATTTACGGTATCCGAGAAATCCAATTCTGCGAAAACAAAACTGAAAGACATATTTATAAAACTCTTTATAAAACCAGTTGCTGTTAAGAGACAATGCGATCGTTGAACAAGACCGCCTGACTTAAACAGCTGGCTTTATACAATTTGCAATTAACAATATGCTCATTGTGACGCGTGTGCGGTTGTGTTTTCCAGATAAATGATATCCAGAAATACGATTACTAAACCTTTCCTGTGTGATATCACACTATAAAACACGTCACACGAGGCTACGCTCGATTTTTTTTTGGGGGTGGATTACGGAGGTTTTAGTGTTTTCTGGAATCTGCCAAATTTGGAATCCAATCCTTGGCACGTTTGACCTTAACCTAAAATTCGATGGTATATTTTCGTGCGCCGGATGGACGGACGAACGGGAAGCTTACTTCAGCGCTTTTCTTTCTTTCTTTTTCGTTATCTCGGAGCACGATCTTCAATAAGAGGAAGATCGCGGTGGCGTAACCGTTCTATAATTAAACTCTTTCTTTCGCTGATTAATTAAAGAGTATCTAAGTACAGAGGAGAGTACAAAATGTATCTGTTGTACTCGTTAATAAATCCAGAAACGTTTCTTGGTGTTTAGAAAAACGTAAGAAAACGTCCAAAAAGAAAAAAACGCTACTTTTCTAACAGTTTTCTGTAGCAATTGAAGAGGGGAGGGATTTCGTGGGTTACGTTAAGCATTTAACGTTTATAATGAGAAACAATGCCAGAGAGAGAAAAAAACGTAGCTATATATGGAGTTAGTAGTTAGCACCCCACTCTAACAATATCGGATTCTTGGAATTTATATAGAACACACACACACACTATTTTGAAGAAATCCCGGTCACACCCTTGTTATATTTTTCTTTATTTTTGAGTGCTAAATCATTCGTCTATTCGGAATCTTTTAAGATTTTCTGAATTAAGAGGTTCAGAAATCACACTTAAGTCTTGTTTCTAGGAAGGTGACGTCTTTCGGCTCGTGTCAGTTACGTTCATTAGTAATAAATGTTTTATTGGATTCGTAAAGTTATTATAAAATTTATGAATGATAATTTTGAATGAATTAACAATTCGAGGGATCGTGCTAGAAGAAACTAGCAATATAAGAATCCCTGCTGGACAAACCAGCAACTCGACTGACTCTAGAAGCTAACAATATAAGGATTCGTGCTGGACGTAGTAGTAACACCAGAATTTTTGCTAGAAAAACTAACAATGAGGATTCACTCTTGATGAAAGTAGCAACGAGAATTCATGCTAGAAGAAGCCAGCAACATAAGGATTCATACTAGACGAACTAGCAAACTAAAGATACACGCTGGACGAACTAGCAACATGAGGATTCATGCTAAAAGAAGCCAGCAACATGAGGATTCTTTCTAAAAGAAGCCAGTAACATAAGGATTCATACTAGACGAACTAGCAAACTAAAGATACACGCTGGACGAACTAGCAACATGAGGATTCATGCTAAAAGAAGCCAGCAACATGAGGATTCTTTCTAAAAGAAGCCAGCAACATAAGGATTCATACTAGACGAACTAGCAAACTAAAGATACACGCTGGACGAACTAGCAACATGAGGATTCATGCTAAAAGAAGCCAGCAACATAAGGATTCATGCTGGATGTAGCAAACTAAGAATTCATTTTATATGAAGTAGCAACATAATTCACGAGACGCATATAAACCTAGTGAATCCTTACATTGCTAGTTAAGTTGTTGTGTTAGCAAAAAATTTTGTTTTAATCTTATTAAAAATTAAGCCCGTAATGCAACAGAAAAGTTTGAACCGTTTTATTTCCGTTAGATCTGAAGATAAAACGTCCACGCGCGGGCAGACAAACTGACGTACTCTTCTTTCTCCCCTCTTCAAACGAGCGTTGGTAGAAAAGCCAGCAGGATTCTAACCGGTTGCTTTCTAAATTAAATTTTTCTACTTTTTTTTTTACACAAAATTAAAACATGTAAACCTCGTCCCGCGTCAAAAAATCGCGCAATTTTATTCCGTCCGTCTTAAGCAATGTAACGCGCAAAAAACTTGTATAGAACGAGCTCAAATTTTCGCGAAGGTCAATCGTGATGCAACAAAGTTTCAGGAAAAAAGAAAAAAAAAAAAGCATTCTAGAAGCAAATTAATTGTAATTAAAATTTGCTCGCATTTAATTCTATTTAACCCGTCAAAATTGCATTAAAACTCCATTAAACTTTAAACAATTAAGACACAAAAGCCATTTGATACCGCTTATAGGTGTGACGTTAGCCAATCCCAATGCAGAATGCGTTAATTACGGAGCCTATCCCAAAATATTCGTGCGATAGATTAATTATAGAGCGGCAATCAATTGTTTTTCTGGTATTGTAGAGGTGCAATCATGTGTTTTTTGGTATTGTAGAGGTCATTCAATTAGTTTTTTGGTATTGTAGAGGTGCAATCGTATGTTTTTTGATATTGTAGATGTGCAATCAATTGTTTCTTTGGCATTGTAGAGGTGCAAGCACGTGTTTTTTGGTATTATAGAGCTGCATTCAATTTGTTTTTTGGTACTGTAGAGGTGTAATCAATTGTTTTAAAGGATCGTGCAGCTGAAATTAATTGTTTTTTGGGGCACGCTTCCTAATTACGAGCAAAATTGCACCACCACTTTGGCTCCCTCCAGCAATTCTCTCGCCGATTTTGATTAAAAAAAAAACTGTATATGGCATCAAGTGCCAAGATTCGCGCCAAAATCATCCACTTATCATCATTAAGAAACGTTTAATACCAGCTAAAACATGCGGAAGATGCAAGCGGAAGTCTAGAAATTCTCCAACCACTTGTCGTTCCGAGTGTCTTGACATTTGATAGTCCATTAGTAGCAAGGAGGCTGCTTCCTAGAACTAACTCCGAACCAGCGAAACGTATGAGGTCACAATGGCGATTCTACAATGCATTTTAGTAACGTGCAGCCTCAGTTTTACGCCAGTAAAGCTTAAAATTTAGCGAAAACAAAGGAGAGGAAGAGGTAAAGGGGTGACGTTCGAGAGGGCTGTTTAATTAACCCCGTCACGTGACAGGGGTGACGTCGAGTCGAGTGAAAGAGGAGCGCTCTGCATAGAAGGCCAATCCCTTGATAGACATGAGAATTGCTGTGGGTTAGAAGAAACCGATACTCATCCCTTGCAGTTCTATACACATGTAGATTATATCTAAAGCTAGTTTAGGCTTCTTTAGTTACGAAATCGAACGTATAACGTGATGGGAAGAAGGAGCTGTAACACGATCGAGCTGGCCTTATCATCTACACATTTCAACCTGTATAAAATATGCCCAACGTAACGAAATTTCTGCAAATCTGCCTTAAAAAAATACGTCCGACGGGGGAGGATTTTTAATTAAAGACAAAAGGAGTGGAAAAAAACCGGGTGCAATAACCCCGCATTACTCGAGATTTTCGCTCACCTCGGTCGAGTTTTAGATGTAAACTACCAAGTTATCATCAGTAACGCTGGTTAGGGGGGCAGAAATCAATAACCTAAATTAAATTATCGGCTTTATCAATAACATAAGCGTGTATTTACGCCGCAAAAACGGAATTTGCGTAACACCCTCTTCCAGAAAAACTATTTTTTAGGCGAAGTAACCCTTGCAGCACCCCTTTTATCAGCACCGCCGCATCACCTCCATCACAGAAGCTGCAAAAAAACGGGTCCGATGCAGGATTTATATCTCCACCTTGCAGCACGAAAGGTGATGCTGCGTGGTTTCCTCCCTGGTTTTATTTGCACTTTGCTCAATTGTGACGTGTTTTTAAGAGTTTTTAGTAGTGTTTTCTATCGGAATTTAGGTAAATAAAAGCCATACTCACCCCCCTTTGCACGCATTCCGTCGAGCATTCCTCCTGAAGTCGCGCGGACAGGGTGGCGAAAATCATCACAAAAATGGTCCCGTGTAGAAAAGCCATCGCTCGCTTTGAAGTCTACATCACTTTTGACGACAGACCACTCGCCTCTCTCTATCCCCCCGCCGCTGACGTCACACCAAGCGAAACGACCAATCGGCGAGAGCGAAAGGAGGAAAGAAAAAAGAAAAAACAAAACACAATTACCGTTTTGTGTTATCAAAAAAGGAGAAGTCAGTTTAATTAAAATCCACTTACCTTCTATTTTATTTTATTTATTTATTTAATAGGACGCGCTAACAACTTAAAATGCACACTTATAAGAAGGTCTGCGTAAATCGCATTCGCACGAATTCGAACCCGCAATCGTAGGCGATAGAATAAAGAGCCTTTTCACGTGTTCTCGGAAGTGTGACGAACCCACTCGAACCGCAATTGACTAAAACACTCGAACTGTCGAAGCGCCATCTGCCGAAACGACGACAAACTAACGACAGTTAGTCACACATACACACACACACAACTCTGCCAACAATTCTTTGTTTTTTTATTGGAATTAACTGGAAGTATGACTGACTTATACATTAAAAATATACATTTTTAAATATATATATATATATATATTATCTTAAATATTGTTCTGTATTAATCACAGACATCTTTTATACTAATACAGAGACAACATGTATGTAAAATACTGGCAGTCTGACCACACTTGGGAGTGTTCTGTTCACTTAAGGAGCATGTAATTAACACAGAAACTGCTAGAAATGTAAACGTTGGGCGCGTTAATACTGAACGAGAGAGTGTGTAAATGCGTTAAGCTTTGGTAGCGCTCGAATCAAAGTAATTGCTTGTCGGTGATGCTAAAGATGAGCGTAAAGGAAACTTACAGGAAGCCGAATGAAAAATGAATGACTAGCTTTGTTTTAATTTATGTTCAGCCGTTGTTTGCACTTGTCCGGAACAATGTCCTTCCACCAAGAATTGGGGAAGAGATACTTCTGTATTTCTATCTCCTCCCTGGCCACCGGCATCTTCATTCCGAAGAAGTTGACTTGAGGTAAAGGCGGGGATAATAGTCTTGGCGGAAAGCAGTGGAGGAGCTCGCAGGCTCCCGGAGGCAAGAGCCTGTTTTTCCAACCGACTCGACGCATCTGGTGGGTGATAGAATCCTTCTCAAAAACTATCAGTGCCACCTCACAGCTGTAGTCGTTGACGAGGGTTATGTGATAGGTGCCGTCGGCGGAATTGTATGTTATGTGAAGACGGTACCTCTTAAAGGTTCTCACCAGGAAGCCTTCGTCAACAGCGTTCAGTTCTTCATTCAAGACGCACAGCTGAATTTTGTTCTGCCACGGTAGAGGACCTTCTATCTTCAACGCGCCCCATAGGCTCTCGTAGCACAGAAAGTATGTCAACTGAAGGGCGTTCATGGCTTCTTCGGTTCGCTGAAGAATCAGTTTCATTTTCTGATGTACTTTCTTCGTCACTGCGCAGTATTCATTTTCACTCTCCGTCGCAAATAAGAAGTGCAGAATGAGCATCACTAACAAAATGCAACATATTGCGAGGACCAGTCTGTTGTGTTGTAATCGGATTATCTTCATTTTGAATTTCTTCTATTTAAATACACCTGAAATATAAAATTTATAACAATTATAAACATTATCTTGATAATTTATTATGAAATTAAACAATATAAAAGTATGTTGGATCTATATAAATTTTAACAGTATGCATAAATTAGGTCCTCGTGACAGGAATACTAGGAATTTGATCCATCTTTACAGATACCTCTGTTGGAGGGGTAACTTTAACAAAGCAATTTTATACAGTTTTAGGCAAGGAAAAGTTTGAAACAGTCAACTGTTTCTTGCCTATAATTATGAAAATCAATTAAAAGTCCCGATAGCGCATTAAATAGAATTACGACCGAAACTCAGTCATACTAAATATGGAACGACTGTATCAAATATAAACAGTAGCCCACATTTCAATACATGCTTAATTAAAGTTTTCAGCAGTCTGCAGAACTTTAGAGGCATGAAAGCATATAATTAGTAGGTACAGAATGTACCGTTAAGCTGCTATTACATTCATTCTTATGTAAATTGTTTTAAAGGATGTCAAAATATTACTATAACAAACTAACTTTCTGGGTATTTTCAGCAGTTGTCATCAGATTACACATTCATATCCTATAATTTGAAAGATTTGAATTTGTTGTTTTCGTTTAAGCATACAGTTCAATGCAAGTTTATATAAAATACATTAAAAATTTAAAGGAAATAAGCAGTAAAGTATCTTTTTGTCAAAAGTTCTTTCATACTCACTAATAGCAACATTCATGGCTTAGCCTTTTACGCACATTTCCAAAACTTAAGGACAAGTGACATTCGTACACAATAGACAGAACTTTAGCTGAATGTAGACAAATATGGCAAAAATTGTATCACTCGATATCTAATGCAGGGTAATAGAGGACTTGTAGGATTTTACAAATCAAAGTGATAAAAGTAAGTCTGTGGTGAAAAGTTACACACAGCAGTCGGACTTAAGCGGAGAATGGATGGAGAGTGCTTACCAATATATGGGCAGAAAGACCTGTTGGTACGGAACATGTCCACTTCAAACTGCCTTGTAGCACTCGCAATGTCATGGCGTGTTCATCTCTGAGACTTTTTCCAGCTATAATCATTAGCAATTGTGTTTGTCCTTAAGTTTTGGACATGTGTATTAACTAAGTCATACTATAAATTATAAAGCAGATAATACTATGGATGGTGTAAAATATTAGATAAATTTATCTGTAGGGAGTAATTTTAGAGCAAAAGTTCTTCATATAAGCAAAAATACTTCTTTATTAAAATACAAATAAATGCAAAACCATTTTCATTACTGTAACTGTGTTAATTATTACCCAAGAAATGCATATTGTACACCAATCGATAGGGTAACCATTCTAGTTTCATCTACCATCTGCATCAGTGGCGTGCTGTGACATTTGATGATAGGGAAGCTGTGTTTCTGTAAGAAGCCGGCATCCAGGGGCAACCAGTCAATTGCGTGTCAGTGATGGTCTAGGGTCTATTCGTATTGTTTATTCAATAAGCCAGTAAAACCCGTAGACTTTTCTAAATGCATTTTTAATATCACAATTACATTCTGAATCGCTAACCACGATATGAGGGCTACAATTAAAAATAAAATAATAAAAACTTACTCGATGAAATAAAATGTGTGGTGGATGTACTGGTGCATACCTGGTACGAAATATTCTTCAATTGTATGAATATACTTTTAAAGTAAATTATAACTAAATATAGCTTTGTAAAGAAATATACTGTACATAAATATATAAAATATTTTTTACTTTTTAAATCTTTAAACAATGCACTTAGTCAAACAGCTCCCTACGAGTGGCTAATGCATGGAATCAAAGACGGTTGCAAATGGTGCATACACGCGGACTGCCAAATCCCCAGGGTGCCGATATCAATGTCAAATACCTCTTTTGTCGCATCACTAGTATACCTCAAAGGATGCGACAGGGCTGTTGTAAATTTTAAACGTTTCTCACCATAGCTGTAAAAATCTAAATATGTTAAACTTAATAGATTGTCCGTCATTTGTTTTCTAACTATTTCGTTTTAGGACCAGGTGTTGTCCACGGAAATTTCCAAAATTTACAACTTTTCAGTCACTCTCATCGAACTGGAAAAATTTCTGTTTATATTACATCAAATACTATGAAGAAATCAGTCTCCACTGTACTTGGCTAGAGATGGTTCGATTAAGCTTTAGTTTAAGTAAAATTTCGGCTCTTTCATCAGGGTTTTGTTTATCTCTCCAATTCCCTAATCGCTTAACTATTTAACTACTTCTTAAGTAGAAATAAGTCAAAACCAGTTACTTTGTACTCGAATATTTGTAGTCTCGGGAAAAAGTGGAAAGACAAATTTTTATGACAAACGGATACATAAATCGTAAATTTAAGAAAAGTAAATTCTAGAGCTTTTTCTGTACCTGGTGCATCTCTCTCATTCATTAAATTTAGTTGTAAATGATGCTGTCAAAGTAACAGTTAATTTTTTAACATTATACAAGAATTGTACATGTTTTTTTCTACATCCCCTTAAAGATGGGATATACGAAATCGTAATATCACTGGTTTAACATCGAAATCCGTGAGTAATATAAAATCGGAGAGCGGAATAAATATATCAAATATTTTAATGGATTTTTTTAAACTCCTGTCAACTATACAGAATTATCATAAAAACAACCAGTAAATTCTTATTGGTTGGGTTAAGTTATAAATCTACTCATGATTCACGTAATCGAGCAAGGGTGGCCAAATATCTAGCGGGCAGGCAGCTAACAGCCCAGAACCGGTCCTGGATAGAATTGGATGCAGTATACATGTAGCATCCACCCGAGGTCCTAGGCTTCTACTAGCTAAACTGGGTGAGGTTGGTGCTCTGTAAAGCGCATGTACGAATCTGGCTTTTTGGATGCTGATAATACAGCGCTTCCACTCTGCCACTAATATACGAATATACAATAGCAATCTTATCTTTCTTTTTTTTCACATGTAGTATAGAAATTTGTCGCATATTGTGCGAGAAATCGCACAATATTTATAATAAAATATTGTGCGATTATTTTCATATAATTAAAATTAATATGTATTTATTTTTTAGAAAATACAAGGGAAGTGGCGCATCCACCGCTTCCAATGACAGCACAACACTGATCTGCATATAAATGTCTTTTTGTCTGCTGTCTCTGAAAAGCACTATAAACAAAAATGACAGTTCTGCAACAGAGAAAGTGTTTTCTGTTCTGCAGTTCACAAAGCTGGAATCATTCGTCATTGTGCAACGTGCAAATATGCTTTGCAGACAATTTCAAAGTGATCTGCCACGCAAGAGAAACATTCTTCTTGTACGACGACTGATTTTGAGTTTGCAGCCCACAGAACATAAAATACTTCTCTATTATGGAGTTGCCATTTTTGTTTATGGTGCTTCCTAGAGGCAGCAGACAAAACACATTTGTATGTAGATGGCAGACAAAACTTGGACATTTAATCTATCCATTAGTGTACACAGAGCTGTAACTAGCCATTCCTGTGCCCTGTGCAAGAATTTGCATTTAGGCCCCTTAATTTATTTGGTTTTGGGAAAATAATAAAACAAATACTGTACATTACAATAGATTTTTTAATAAGATTTCTATTGGAATAATAGAAATATTGAAAAATCGTTCTTGTCCGATAGTTGATCTTAAATAATTTTTTATTAAGTTTAACTTGCTAAAACTTCTCTCGCACGAAGCAATAGAAATGGGAAGAGTTAGAAATATTCAAAGAGCGACATTGATATTTGGGTAAGACTCAATTAAACCAAAATCATGAAGAGCCTGTAGAACAGCGTTTCTCAAAGTGGGCAATAATGCCCTGTTGTGGGCGATGAGTAAATCTAGGGGGCGCTGGAGGCAGAGTATTGAACAGTGACCAAAGGCAAAATTGGGGTCACTGAAAGCCTCTGTTAAACTGATAAGAGGAAACATTGTGTTTAATGGTTTCCAGATGTTGAGAATAATGTACGGTAAGGGCACAAAGTGTGAGATTCATAGAAAAGTTTTCCTAAGAATATTTCCAATCCTTTCTCACACAAGAGAAAATGGGTTAGGGGGCGTTGGGTATAACTTTATGGAACAAAGGGTGTGGTGGATCGAAAAAGTTTGAGAATCACTGCTGTAGAATATTAAGCGGAGATGCAGTTTCTATATTTTGTATAAGAGTTGTTACTTCAATATTAAAACTTTCAATTTCACTTGTGAATTTGTACTTTTTTAAATCTTTGCTATATTTAATAGCGAGATCAGCAGCCGATTATTTTAAATCAGCAACACTCATGTATTACTAAAGACGAGCCACAGAGAAAGCAAAAATCGTCACAGATAGTTTTCATTTTTTTCATAACGCCAATCTATTTGACACAATAGTGTCAAGAACACTGTAAATTTGTATTTTAAATAATTTTTCGGGTGTCAAGTTACTTCATTCATCTGGTGTTTTATCTATTTCCATTATCTTAATTCGTTTTTTTTCGTTTATTAAGAAATTTCTTTTCTTTACTTTTTGGTTTGTATTAAGAATATGATCAATAATAGCATCTGTTAATATTGTTGGCCATAAAGCTATATTACTTATTACTTCCATGTATCTATATATATCAAAGCGTTTTTCTGGACTATTTCTATCTTCTGCGTTTTCACAATCCCTTTTTACAGTAGCATTTTAAAGACTGTGGGAGCCCCTTCGGGGCCTATGCGCTTGCATAGATCGCTTACCGCTTAATCCGTCGTTCAGGTATACACCACATATGCGTACCACTATAAAGCAAAAAATGATGTCAGAATTTCTGCATGCCTTATACAACCTCGAGACTAAGATTTTATTTGGGAGTTACCGTTTTCAATTTAGTAATTTTAAAAAAATCCTCGAGCAGATTTATTTTTGTTACAAAATGTTGCCTTTACAGATATTTAGCTCTGCACACTGTAGAAAAATCTAGAAATACAATTTTGTATATCGTAATAATATTAGTAGTTGCCAGAGAGCTCTATAAAGTAGAGAAAAATCTGTAAATTTGAAAACTATGAACATAAATCTAAATTTCTCAAAAAATAAATTAANCAGATTTCTAGCTCTGCACACTGTAGAAAAATCTAGAAATACAATTTTGTATATCGTAATAATATTAGTAGTTGCCAGAGAGCTCTATAAAGTAGAGAAAAATCTGTAAATTTGAAAACTATGAACATAAATCTAAATTTCTCAAAAAATAAATTAAAAAATCTCAAAAGTCGCTACTTTTGGCTGATTTGTCTGAGGTCTCCGCTACCTCTCTTTGTCCCTCTAAAAGTCGCCACAGTTGGGAACACTGGTGAGCAGACATCTAGGGTCTAAGTAAGGCAAAATGTAATCGAAAAACCGCACTGTAGAAATGCACAAAAATTAAAAAATACTATATAATTTCTTGTGAACAGCAGTTTGGGCCCCCCTTCTAAGCGGGCCCCATGCGAGTGCACCTGTTGCACCTGCCTAGTTACGGCTCTGAGTGTACAACACATACTTCTTGATTATCTAGTGGAATGCTGTTGAAAGTGACACGACTGCAAGCTATATTCATCAACAAATAAATTAAATTCAAAATTGTCAATGCACAATAGAGGTCTTATTAGTCTCGTGGTGGCTGCCATCTTGTTTGCTGGCATATCGAGCACTGAAAAAGATGCTTGCAGTTTGCTAGCAACAACTGGAAGTTGCATGAGATTTTGAACATAAGTCCCATGAGGTTCTAGAAGCACACCGAGATTTTTCTTTATCTTCGAATCCCATACAAGCACTCGACAATTATGTAGACGTGTTCCTAAAAAATCTGTCTGTATGAAAAAATGGCAGAGGCTCAGGACCTAAAAACCAATTAATAAAACAAGATGTGTTTAAACCAAATTTTGTAATAGCCCAAATATTAGTCTATGTTTTTCCAGTTTTAAAGAAGCAAAAACTCTCTCGACCTACATTCGAGTTCAGTTATGGCTTCCTTCAATTTCAATAACCATCCGCAGTACAAATTGTACACAGTTTCAATTCAATGCATTCATTATTTACCAATGCTAAATGCTAGTAAGTTGCAACCTATCATGCTGCATCCTACAAATTATGATTAGGAATTAAGTGTTTAGCATAACAGTAATCAATTAGTCAATTGATCAAAAACAACAGACTAACCTAAACCAATTGTTTTTATTGGATTCGACAGAATTAATACAATAAAGACAATAAATTTTGTAATTTCTAAAACCAAATTTAGTACCGTTAAAGGAGGGCAGAATGCTAATTGAAAAGCATAAAAATAGTGTTACGTAATTTACAGACAATCCTATACCATGAACTTCATGACTGCATAGAAACTTAGCGACATCGCACGGGTACGATTTATATGGAGAGTTTATATCCATTTCAAAATTTATCTGATAGTAAGATAGCCAATGACGTTACCATGCAGTGATGTTACCCAATGCTAAGGCTGGAAGTTATAGGATATTTTTCACTATCAGAGTTCCTTCTGATAACTAAGAAATTGAGCAGTGTATGATGTGTGTGATACTTTCTACAACTGTAAGAATATGAAAACAATTTGCATGTTAAAAGTACGTTTAAGTTAAGTATTATCGAAACAAAGATATCCGAGGCATAAAAAAATTTCACCAAATAAAAACTTACGACAATTTAAACAGTCAAAATTTCTTTTTGGAGTTTTCCTTTGGTAAAGATAAGCCTGGCACTTGGAAGTGAAATGTAGAAAAGAATAATATAAGTAAAAGTCTTGTGGGTACCATTTTGAAGCGCAGAGCTTATCTTTTACCAAAGGAAAACTAAAATAAAAAAACTTTGACTGCCATCTAAATTGTCATAAGTTTTAACTTGATGAATTCAGATGTTTCTGTTTAATAACTGTATTCATTTCGGTCGACACTGATCGACGCTTTCACTACACCATTTAAAAAATTGTTATAAAAAGTTTTGATTGGCATAAATTAGAGCTTTTGTAATTCTGAGTAAAGTTTTGAATGAAATTTATTTGTTTCAATGCATATTTATCTTTATTAGCATAAAATTAAGCCATGAAACTGAATTAGTTCTATGGAAAATTGCCCGTGAACTTTGACCTATCGACACAGAGGTTTTGTGAGCACCTAACTGATAACGAGAAAGGCTTAAGTTTAAAATCTGAGCTTTCTAGACCCAACAGTTTTTTTCTCTACAAATGAAAAAAAAAAAAAAAAGAAAATACAGCTTTTTTGGTGAGTTTTGCAGTGTTTACTTGAGTTGTTTACTTGGAACAAAGTCACTGCCGTGACTCATGATTCTTTCTTATAATTATCTATAAATACAATAAAATTTTATTAATTGATTTAGCAGATGAGAGCTATAAAAGTAAATTTTGTAAAGTTGAGAAATTATTTTGTGGTAGTATATGAAGCATAGGGAGTGAAATTGTATAACTGCGAGATGCAAACAGCAAAATAGAAGACAAAAAAACCTTAATAATCATGTAATTGTAATTTTTAAAGTTTGGTACTATTCTAGAATTATAAGAAGTAAAAAAAAAAAATGGTGTCATATAAGTGCACCCAAAGAAACAAATGACAAATGGCCAATTTGCCGTTTTCATTTATTGCTCTCTTATTCTTGAAAAACAATTTCTACACTCAAATCTTAAATAATAACAAAAAAAAAATAAGATTTAGTGTTTATTGAAGGATTAAAAATTGTTTGTTTTGTGATAATAAATGAATTTGGGGATAACATTGTAATGTGGTATTCGCTATAAATTTATGATGCAAACAGGCTGTCATAAAGATACACCAAGTGAAAAACTATCATAAATATTTTCGCAATAGTGTTTAAAACAATATATTAATTCTATGTGTAAAGAAAAGAAATTGTTAATTTAAATATTCCTAAAACGACAACTGACGGCATGTGCGATTCAATAATTTGGTAACTAACATTAAAAAAAATCATGAAAAGTGACAGAAAGAAACCCCCGGTTTACAGTATAAAATTTGTGTCTAAGAAAACAGCCAAATGTAAAATTTCCACGCAGTTTTCTAAAGAAAGTATGAATATTTGACATGTGTGTCTTGCCTGACAGTGCCATTTAACACGGACGAAAACATTCGCGCACTGGTATAATTTTTTTGCTGATTTGTTAGGTTGTTGCAGTGTTTATTTTTGTCTAATATTACCAGTAGCAGTTGTTAACTTAGTATGAATATTTTTTCTTAGAATTAAAATTGTGTGTAAAAACATAATTGTATGTATATAATATAAATGAAAGACTGAATCATACAACTAAAGACTTACATGCCAAACTATTTTCAGGATAAAATCATAGAATAATTTTTTTCAAACTAACTCTAAAAGTTAAATTAAAGGTATGTTGTAGTGGTGCAAATATTAATAATTAGAAGTTAATTTTTAATAAATGATAGACTGGAAATGGAAACTGAAACCACATTACTTATGTATCGTCTGGTTTTATTCTTTTCCTCATTGCTGTTGATTATTGTATAAGGTTGGTTGATCATCATTTGCCAAACCACTTCTGTCGGATTTATGGCAAGCAAGACTGAACTTTGGTTTCATTTGATAAGATACAAACACAACACATGGGCAATCTACCTCCCAGGAGGAGACTTTCTATAGGAAACTGGCCCCAATTTATGTGTTAGACACACAAAACAACCCATTGATTGAGTTTTCAACCCACAACCAACTATCAGTGTTTGATAGTGTATTTGCTTGGCCATTAATGGGGATAATTTACAATAAAGATCTCTTATCCGGCAGAGTATATGAGTTAAAATCTATATCACTTTACGATTGGCGTTACTACTGAAAATTTCAAAATATCCTTCAAACTTTTATCAAACATTCATTGCATTATTTTACACATATTTTGACTAATTTTCCTAGATATTTGTATATCACTTTTACATATTATACGCAAATATAAATATTTTCTGTTGTACAATGTATACGTCTACAGTTATTTATATATTACTAATGTTGTAGTCTAATTTACAAGAAAATGCATTTCTGTTATTGAAATGTAATTACATTATACAAAATTTAATGAATATATAAATTTATTTTGTCTATATTAATATCTTTGCATGCAGACATTATCACGGTAATGATAAACTTCAAAAAAAATTTGAAGCAGTTCAGTAAAACAAATGTAAATGGATAAATAAAATTTAGCTTACGACTTTTTAAAACGATTCATTATAGCTGAAGAACGTTCATCATCATCACTGTCGTCGGAAATACTCTGAAGATGGCCATGTTTAAAAGAAAAGAAGGTGAAAGCAATCCTAGCTGCAGTAGTTCTGAAATAAAAATTGTAAAAAATTAATTATTAAATAACATTTTATAAAATAATCATTATATCAAAATTATAATGCAGTAGCATATATATATTACAATATATTTCTACCTCTAAACCTAAAGGATCAAATGAATTATCATTCTTCACTGGCAACACTCAATAACAACATCAATTCCGCACATTAACAAAAAATATAATCCTGAAAAACATCAGTGTTTATACTGTTCAAAAAGTGTTTTATAGAATAGGCACCAAGATCTTTTAAAACCACACCTGTCATTAGTTTGACCAGACCCACAATGGGGTAAACTGAGAATTTTTCCTAAGCTCCTAAGATTTTGGAGCTTGCGAAAAATCTCCAGTGGTTCTTACTTCTTAAAATTAATGTTACTTTTACTAACAGAAAATAAAATCCTTAAGACTGTGTTTTTATTAATAAAGAGACATTTAAACATATTTCACTTGTTCAAAAAGCAAATGCTATAACCCAAGCCCAGTACATAGCCATAGAAACATAACTGCACGATGGCCCCATACGTAGCCATAGAGACCTAACTGCAATGATACCAATAGTATACAGTATTACTATAAAATATAGAAGTTTAAGCCAGTAGTTCTAAACTGAAGTGCTGCAAACTTCTGATAGAAATGCCACAAAATAATTGTAAAATGCTAATTGTTTTGCTACTTATTACTATTATTTGCATATTTTTCTGTATAAATTAAGTCATATCTTCAATGTTACTTCTCACTTATGCATATAATAGCATGTTTTACGCAACACTGGTCTCCACGTTTCACCAAAAACGGCACGTCACTAACTTAAGGATCATTCAAATGATAACATGACAGGATATTATAAAACAATAAAGAAAATACTAACCTGTAATTATAAAACAATAAAGAAAATACTAACCTGTAGCTTGCTGAGATCAATACATGTAATGTGAATGTGTGGAAGAGTATGCAATACCAAACAGTTGCTATGTGACGTGGAGTGCTTTTTATAATGTAGAAGTGGTAGGTGGAAAAGAAATTCATCACACAACGAATACCATAAGTTGTTTTTGAAGTTGTAAATGCCAAGCTTGCTGTCGAAGAAAGCTATTCTCCTTCCTGACAATGTAAAGCCTGACACCACCAACAACTTTTGTGATGCCCCACAAAAGATAAAATAGTAAACCCCAATGTCCTCCTTATAGTCTGGATTTCTCATCCCACAATTTTGATGTTTTTGGATAACTAAAGGGGCAATAATTTCAATCAGATGACGACTTAAAGAAAAGCCATCCAAAGTTGCATCAATAATCTGAAGAGTTCTACCAGAAAGATATTTTCTAGCTACTAAAACATGAGATGATTGTTCAAATTCTGCAGGGATTGTTTTTACTCTTTAATAAATTAAATGATATTTACAAAGTTACAAAGAATATATCATCATTTCTATTGTGATCCGGAATTAGACTTTATTCTTCATTTGGTAGAATAATCATTGTTACGATGGATTTTTTCCGGCAATGGAAGAACAAAACAAAGTCGCAAAGAACTTATGTCGAATGACAATCCTACAGAAACAATTATTGTTCTCAAGAATCAGAATACGTACAAAAGATCTTCATTTTTATAAAATTAATTTGTGAAGAAGTAGAATAATGTGATCAGTTTTAATATTTTAATCATCCATCTTCATTTTTCATCATAATCATCAATTAGAGTTCCAAATATTCAATCCATTTTAGTATTGTGGAAGTAAAAACTTTCCACTATTATCTTAATCCATTCAAATGTGGTAGTCTGGTCTTTGGCACATGACAAACAGTGCCGAACGTTTGACCCTATCTTTAATTTTGGAAACAACCAGTTTGAAGAAAGGCTGTAAGATGGGTGCCAAAGAATCTTACTTCGGGTTTTCAAGCATCTTTGCCATTTTGCAATGTACTTTATAGCATAATGATGTGAAAAATGGTTCTTTTAGGCTTTATTCTGCAAATTTCTTGATAAGCCTGCAGAATACTTCACTATTAAAATGTATTTAGTCCAACAAAGAAAGTAATAATTAGAATAATTTCTGAATAAGACATAATGCCTACCACTTGGAAAGATTGAATTGAAGCAGCAACCCCAATAATTTATTTGCATGGTCTGTTACAGATATATCTGGCCCCATCCTCACCATCCAGCTCCTTCCAAAGTGGACCTGGCCGAACCCACACAGGTTTTGGTTTGATGGAATATGTGTTCGTAGGCAATTACCAAGGAAGGATGCCACTCATGACGACTTTTATGTGTAACTGGCCCCTATTTCGGTGTTAAATGCTTGAAGAAAACCCAGATAATTTCACATAGAGAGGCAAAAACCCATAACCGACTATCAATGTCCACCGGTTTTATCTGTTGGACTTGGTGGGCCCCACATCCGCATACATATGATTAAAAAGATCCTCTTAGTATCACAGAATTAAATATTACAAGTGAAATTCTCTAAATACTGTTAGTTTACTCAACTTGCCATATGTTTTATTGTCAAAATGGTCTATGGCTCTGATAACATCCCAAAAGCATCATTTGGATGTTGAATTTTGCCAATATGGCCCCTATTTAGACGTTACAGATGTGGAGAAAACCCGGAAAACTCCACGTGGCCAGCCTATCCTAACGAGACGCAAACCCACTTTCAGTGGCCATCTCTGACTTTTTCTTGCAACAGAGTAGCTGTCTGACATTTCATCGATTGTGTCTACGCTACCCTTTGTTGCGTTATAAAATGTTATAGCTTTGGGTTTTTCTTATCGCCTGTCTCTGGGTCAATTGTTTGGTGCATTGTTGACAACAATAAGACAACTTTTCTTTTTTTAGAAACATATGAAACCAGAGTTGCATAGTGTTTTCCGAATCCAAAAAGTTAAGAATACTCTTCGCTACCAATGGTGATAAGAAAACAGGCATTCTCGAGACAATGGAACACTTGTGAACCAATTGTCATATGTTACATTACATCCAGTACCTGAGATTGGTTGTATCAGACATTTCACAATGGTAGAAGGAGTTTAATTAATATTAAATGGACCATCAGGTTGTTTTCCTAAATAAACTTCCATATTTAGTATGTAGAAGGTCCTAGCATCTACCAGCGAAAACACCTGTATTCCATATTTAGCAGACTTGCTTTTCATAAATTGACGAAATGGGCATTTGCTACAAAAACTCCTCAACATTTTATCAATTGTTGTGTACTTACTTATACAGAAATTTATTTTACAGTTTTCTAGCAAAATTTTTCAAATATTTCTCTCACAGGAGCAAAAATTTATCAAGTGCAATCCTTAATTGATGATCTCTCTCATTATCAAAGCACAACATCCCCAACAAAAATCGGAATCACAGTTATACGAAAAACGGAAACTCCATTGCCGTCATCTTCCCGCAATTCGTCAGCGCGACACCAGAAAGATATAAAAGACCCAGAAGACCTTTCATCTCCGCCAAACAGGGCCGTGCCTTGCTACGACACGGAGAGGCGGCATAAGCAGCATTTAAGCGGTGGCATTTCGAAGACTTGCATCGTAGTGAGAAAATCTAATCGCACGGCCCTGCCATCAAATCTCTAGATTTTGCATCTCTTTCATGAGTAAACTTTGATGTAGTTTGACTATAATCAAGCAGTAAAATTTACACAAATGTAAAGAATCGCTTTAGGGTTTGGCAAATCAACAAAAACCTTTTCCTTTCAATGCATTCAAGCAAACTAATACGTTCCTGGAAACACTAAACTACTTTCAGGTGACCACTAATGGTTTGGTAATTGAAAATAGACAGAATTTGGGTCATGATGACCAACCACCTCTTACAAACATTACAAATATAAGGCTCTCTGTGGGTCACCACGACCCCACAAAGAGCCATCACCTCTTAATTAATGAGTTCTGCGAAACTGAGTAACGGCCATACGTCCCTATAGGAAGCTACTGTATCTGGGTAATCTACCACCAATGCCTTAAAAGGTATTGAACTAATTACATAAAATTACAATTAGTGGAGCATTAAACAAGGAACATGAATATACAAACTGACAGACATACAGACAAACTAATGAATTTTTAAATGCGTGCAACACTCATAAATCCTGCTAGTTAATTAAGTAAATCATCGAACCAGTGTTTATTCGTTAATCATGAAGTAATTATCATCTGTTATCAAGTTAACCACAGAAATAACAAAAAAAAAGTACGTACGTCTGTCGGCACTAGCAAACACGTTCGACTAATCAGCCATTTTTAATTCGTTTCCGACTGTAGCGCCAAATCGAAACAAGCGGAAAGACCAGTCAGTAAATTTCGAATATTTCAAAATTTAAAATTCAAATTTTATAAATTCTAAAACACAGAGGAATTATACTAAAATAATTCGAGGTGAGATTAATTTTTAGAATGGGAAAGGTTAAAGTTCGTGTGCTTTCTCTTCCCATTTAAACGATATATTAAGTGTAATAACCCGCGTAAGAAGGACAATTATACTACCGACATTTGAATATTAACTGAAGTAAATGTGAATGTGACCTTAGTAGTGTAGTAATTTAAGAAATAAGTAGTGTAAGTCACGATATTCGACGATATAATGCACGCATCGGTAGCAGGCATTTTCTTGCAGTAAAATGGCTTCTAAGCATGCAAATTCGTAATGCCTTGCTTTAATTTTCGGTGCATTAAAAAAATAATGTCTGGTATGTAAACTGTTGCTTAAAAAAATGGAAGATTTTGCACTCGGTTCGTCGATTTACGGAGATTTTCGGGAAAGTTTTCACTGATTAATAAGACAATGTGACACTAGGTTAATCTGACAAGGTGGGTCCTTGGAAGATATACACGAAAGAGATGCTCGTAGAAAGTCCTCCATGTGTTGCGTTATCTTATTCCATCAATGGAATCCAATCCAATACACATAGAAAGCGTTATGAATCCTTATGGAGAATTTGGCTAACTCCACAATGGAGTCGTAACACGAGTACGGTAATGGGTTCATGGTAATCGTAATTATACTGCTCAGTACAGTGTCCATTCTGAAGGCGTTGAACACACGATCATCTGTGATGCTTCTTATATACGATGGAATACTGCGTTTAGGGGTAATATTGCAGGCTCCAGTAGTACATGTGTCACTGAACGTGTCTGTAATATTACGGCTGTGATAACATGTTCAACCAAAATTGCCTTAAGTGCAGCTAAAGGATTGCCATTGTTTTCATAAAATAGCTTCAAAGGAAATGTGCGTATTCAGCATTTATACCTACTTTTATTCCTTGAACTCGAATGCAACACGCGTGCTTATTAAAAGAGATAGTTTTTTTCGTTGTCGCAGCGCCAGAATTGCAACAGTGGCGAGTTTGTACTAAGTTTTTTTTTTTACTGTAATGCCTTCCGCGTGTCCTGAGATGTTACCATACCAAATTTGGTTGCATTAAGAGTAATAAATTTCTCTGTAGCCAGCATTGAATAGGAGTATTTTGATATATGCAATCATCTTCTTTCTTTCTATTAGATTATCGGGCCCCAGTGTTCAATGGTTAAAACTACTAAACAGTGGTAATTGGCCTCTCCAACAGGCTGGACACATGGAGATTTTTTTTCACCTATCAAGGCCATATTCTCATTTAATAAATCCCAGGGAGGTATTCCCGTTTGGCATATTGTGTTGTCTTTTCGTATTCCATCACACTGTCACCGTCTATTTCAAATATATATTACCGACCCTTGATACAAAGAATTAAGAGAACGAAAATAGTTTCCCGATAACGCTGTATTCGAGATCTTTACAATCAACCTCAAAACGTATAAATGATAAAACAAATACAGATAACTTACGATAAATAACAGAGAAACAATAACCGTACTTAGCGGGCATTCCGCATACTGACGATAACGAATGATGCATTTCTACACCGATGGGCTTTTTTGAAATTATTTGAATTATTTCCGAAATCCGTTATATCGGGGTCGTAAAATCGAGGGACGATGATATGCATTATTTAAATAGAGAATTCGAGTAGGTGTTCTTTTTTTGAAACGAGTTATGTAATTGGCTTACTAATTCGGCTATATTAACAGGATATTTTAAGCGATACAGGAGTAAAATAATAGTGTTGTATGCCAACCAAAGACAAACCTGCCACTGTGATACTGGTGGATGGAGTGGTTTCATCCACTGTGCCCACCAGTATCACAGTGGCAGGGTATCCAAAAATGCAATAAAATATCTCGAAAACGAAGTCATGGATCAAGGGATGTGTATGTATATTAGTGTGTTTATGTATTAATACATTTGTGGGGACACGATTTTGTGCGTCCACTTTGAAGCTTAATATCTCCCGTGCCTTTTGCCAAAAATTTCTGAAATTTTGCAGGGGGGTTTGTATATTAGGAGGATTAATGCTATTAAATTTTGGTGGTTAAAAGTCGAGGGAGAGGGGAGATAGAGGGAGTCGCGTGCCTTAATTCGAGTGGAATCGGACTCTATTATCATTTAAAATTTATTATTGTTTTTTTTTAAATAAAACTCGTCTCTACCCTCCAAATTAAACTTTCTGCCATTTTAAAAGTAAAATCTCGTAACAGATGGCTCCATACACAATTTTAATTTCTTTGCCGGGAAAGTTACGCAACTCGTTGCTGGATTTTTTTTAGTTTTGAATTAATTAGATAGGACAAGGCAACACGTGGGTGATGCCTCTAGCAGAAGTTTATTAAAAACTGGCCCCTAGCTGGGTGTTAAGTGGATCGATCAAATAGAATATTTTCTGCATTGGGTCAATAGAAGAAAATGATTGGGAACACCCGTTTTATATCATATAATATAAGAAGTACATTAATATGTAAGTGAAATTATAGGAAAAGTCTACTGCATTATTCGATACTAAATATAACTTTGATTGTTACCCATAAAACAGATTTGACAATGTATATTTAGTATCGGTTTATTGATATAGAGTTATATACACTAAATATTTTATTTGCATCGACAATACGTCAACGTTTGATAAAACTTACAATATTAGATTTCTCATTAACACAATCGAAAATCAATACATAAACTAATAATTCGATAAAGAATCAGGTTTTACAGCATTTGCGAAGGACAGACAGACATCCAGACGTCTTATATGCCCACTAAGAATACCTTCTTAATGCCTTTGATTTTTTAGTGAAAATTGCCACCATCCTCGTTTTCTTTCACACACTGGTAGTGTGCAATAGGAAGATTTAGACAGAGAGATGTCATTAGGGCCCTTTGGAGTCTACGAAAGCGTAGGGCCTTTTCGTGTGCGTGAATAGGGTACAAAAAGGGTCTGCGCTTACGGAGTAGATTTTGAACTAACGTAATTGTACTAACTCGAACCCTTCTCATCTCAGCCCTGATAACAGGAGGAAAAGCAAACATGATTTTTTGAAGGGAGTGAAATCAGGTGGTGTCTAGGTTTCGTAATAGCCTATAGTGTTTGCATTGTCCTAGAGAATAAGTATGAAAAATTTGGTAAAGATCAGTCAAATAGTTTAAGTGGCAATACGGGGGATGAAATCGGGAGTGTCCAGATTTCATGATTGCCTATATTTTCCTTATATTTTTTACGTCTTAATTGTTTTTAAATTTAAATATTTGCAACGTCATACGGCATTCAAAATATTGCTTAATCATCCAAATTTTGTTGAGACACGTGCACTTGAAGATAGGTTTAAAATAAGGGAGTCAAAACAAATACTTACAACCAAAATTGGGTGATATTTATTAAAGGGATGACTGACTTTTCGAACGATTTATAACAAAAATAGAACAATTTTAAAGAATAAAGTAGAATATATGCCAACAAAAGAAAAAATTGTTGGCATATATTCTACATTCTGAACTATTTTATAATTACTATTCCTCAGTTTAACGTACAAAACAACGTGTAAATCTATATTCATCACGTAACATAATTATACACCTTTATATTATGTTTCAAAAAATTTACTTCCTGCTATGACGAAATTCGTGACGTCTGACGGCAGTAGTATGACGTGGAAATCGTAATGTCGTCACAATTGACGGAGAGAGTGTGGCTATTTTTAAATGATGAGAATTGAGCTCGAATCACTTCTTAATTCAAACGTATTTACCGTGTACTTATTGAGCTTTCATATAACAATACACTGTTATTATAGGCGGATTTAGATGCTTTCTACCCACATTTTATGTATATTATAAAGGTTCTGGGGAGTTAAGTACAGTACTTTATAGTGTTTGATTAAGGTTCCTAGTTAAAGATAAAAGCCATATCGTTGAATCATAAGATATATAAATAACAGATAATTAGTGTAGCGTAGATACTATGGAATATAGCTTCATATTTTGAATTATTTGCTTGTTGAATTTGCAACGCGACATTTGGGCGATTTGACGTTCCCAGAAGGACTTTCTATGGAAAACAGGCCCTTGTTTTGGTGTTACACACGTGAAGGAAACTCGTGTGACCAGCCCACGTGACCAACTACTAGTGTTCTGTGGTGTTATCCACCGTAAGAACGTCTCTCAGCCTGTCTTCTAACTTCATAATAGAAAAAAATGTAAATTATATTAGAATATTTAAAGAATTTGAGTTACACAGTTTAATTTCTGTACTTTATCCATAAAATTTGTCGTTTAACTTTCTATTAGATAGTGGATTAAGTTCAATAATTCATTCTCATTATTTAAATTAGTATGTTCAGTACATTATTAAAGTTAAATATATTTAATTCATGTTTACCGTATTTCTAAATCGATAATCTTTTATAATTTACTTTGTGAGCTAATTTTGTGTTTAAAGTTTTTAATAAATTAAATTTAATTTAAAAAAAAGAAATGGAAATTAAATACACAGGCCCGTCTGGTTTAGCTTTTGATTAATGAAATTTTGGATATGACGTAGGACGAATTGTAAGCGTATATATATGTACACGAGGTGAGAGGTAGGGTGATATTATAGTATACACATACAATGAGATAGAATGGTCTATATCTGTACAATACATACGTACAGACTATGCTACGCCCTTGCTAGGTGCCAACAGGGGTGGATTTACCCATAAGCTAAATGAGCTTCAACTTAAGGCGTGACATTTTTACACGTATCATTACTTGTTGCAGGGGTAGGGCCTGTTACAGTTACAGTATAAGTTTAAGCTTGTAGGTATGTATGATATATACTATTATGCTTACCTTCATAGGCAGCCTGTCCCATATACGCCGGGCCACTTACAGGCTTGACTGAACCCACGCTGGGTATGAAAGAAAGACAATCTCCACAGGGTGGAAAGAAAATGGTACGAGAGACAATAGTTAGGGTCGCCTGTATTAAAGAAAACTTTATTATTACAGATTTAAAGACTTTTTCAACTAA